TGGTGGTGCGTTTGTGGAGTGAGATTGAAACATGAAGTGCGTTCAGCGTGTGTTTTCTGTGCGGGAAAATTTGTGAAAAATGAATTTTGGGAGGCAATTTTGACTTTGGGCGCCTTTCAATCGTGCAAAACTGCAAATCATTTCCGATTGACTTTTTTTTTTTTTAGGTGTTATGACGTGGTGATAAGCTGACGTGGCAAATGACATCTCATCTGCCACATCAGTCAGGATGTATCAGTCGGGAATATAGTCAGTAAATGTAGCATTATTGTTTGCAGAAAGAAGAAGTAAGTATTATAGAATTGTTTATTAATATTAAATATTTTATGACCTAACCAGACAAATAAATTAAGTTACAAAATTAGGACTTCGAAAAACACGAGTTAATTATCCGTTAAAATTATGCTTTTACATACCAATTTTTCAAAGAAAGTCGACTAGTGGATACACATTATAAATTACATATGATTATATATGTAATTAATAAAAGTTAACGACTTTTTTCCACCCAAATAATGGTTTAATGATATTTTTTCAATCATAGACTTTCAAAGTACCACTTTACTACCCAAATTTATATTCCGATGACGAACAAAGAGCAAACTCGGTGTAAGATTGTAAGCTATTAAAACTTTTTAAGAGGAGAGACCGATGAGTCTTTTGCTTGTGAAATGTTGGATTTTGGTGGTTGAAATTGGTAAGAATTTGACTTAGGAGGGGCGGCTACGTAAACCCTAATTGCTTGATTTCCATCAATTAGCCGGGTCGCTAGGAGTAGAGTTTAAAGGGTTTTGATGAATGATAATCGAGGAAGAAAATGGTGGTCACAACGATGCCGAAATCGGAAACGAAATATAAATTTAAGTAATAAAATAGCATTTTAAAATTCTATAGATGAGAAAGAGTTATTAAGTCATTATTTGAGTGGGAAAAATTCGTTTACTCAATTAATAATGTGCATCTCTAAAGAAAGAAATTATGTCCAAGTTTTCATATTAAAAAATGGTTTAATATAAAAGAATGGTTTTAAAATTTGATTAAATAGATTTTTTTTTTTCCTTAAGTCGCGGATCAACAAGAATATTAAATGGCACCAGTTGTATTTTGCTAGCATTAGAGAAACGTGTAATATTTGCTCCATTTATTGTTTGTTGCATATGTTCATTCTACTCCAGATTTTAGGGTAATGCTATGGGAAGAATACTTTTAATTTCAATAATGCTACATTTACTGACTATATTCCCGACTGATACATCCTGACTGATGTGGCAGATGAGATGTCATTTGCCACGTCAGCTTATCACCACATCATAACACCTAAAAAAAAAAAAAAGTCAATCGGAAATGATTTGCAGTTTTGCACGATTGAAAGGCGCCCAAAGTCAAAATTGCCTCCCAAAATTCATTTTTCACAAATTTTCCTGCACAGAAAACACACAGCAGAACGCACTTCATGTTTCAATCTCACTCCACAAACGCACCACCACCGCACTCCAACTTCGCCGACCTTACTCGCTATTGCCTTTCTGCACCATTTCGCGGTTGAGTTCCTGANGGGTTTTGATTTGAAAATGATGCTTAGGGTTCTGGGATTTTCCTCTCCCCGTTTTAGTCCCTTGATAGAGTGAAGTGGAAAATTAGAGAAGAGAGGTTTGGGGTTTTGGTTTTTATATTTTTGTTCTTAGGATAAATGGCGATGTACTGGGAGATGAGAATGTGGACCGACTTTAGGTATTGGGCCTTCTTGGGCCCTAAAATTGTAGGCTCAATTTATATCCACATGTTAGGCCCTAAAATACTGTTTAGAATTACAGGGAAGTGATTTTTAGGCCCAATAACACTACACAAACATCACTCCCTTAGAACATGACATGACAGCTGACGTGGCAGATGCCACCTCATCTGCCACGTCAACCATATGCCATGTCACTTCCCTCCAAAAATTAAAAAAAAAAAAAATTTCTTACAATCACAAATTCCAAATTTTATTTTCTGAGAATCCAAATCCTAAATCAATTTCATTTTCACTCAAATTCGAACCCTAAAGTTTTTCCCAGATTTCCTTTCAATTTTTAGAACCCTAGCCACCACATTCCCCAATCTCAAGCGAAACGCAGTCGCCACCACAGCCGCACCAGGTTGACCTCTGCACCAGCTCCGTTGGGTATTCATCTGTCAGGACTACAGAATTTCGACCACCTTGATTGCATTGACCACTCTGGTTTCCTCCATCACCTTCTCTACTCTTCCATCAATGACCTCCTAAGGAGCAATTCTGGCCTTCTCCCTTTCCTCTCACTGCTCCCTTTCATCTGTATGTCCATCATATCCCTTATTTCTGTCTCTGTCTCTGTCTCTTTTATTTGGCGAAAGACTGCAGCTTCTCAAATTCACAAAGTGGAGAAAGACTTTCTTCCTTTCCTCTCACTGCTGCAGTCTTTCGCCACTCACAGTCTGTCTCTATCTCTATCTCTTTTATTTTCTTAATTGTGAATTTCAAAATTTGTCCCCACTTCATTTTTTACTGTGAGAAAGACTGCACAAATTCAAAAATGAGGTGGGGATAAATTTTGAAATGAATTTGTGCAGTCTTTCTCCACTTTGTGAATTTGAGAAGCTGCAGAAAAGTTGTTGTTTAGGACGGAGCTAATTTGTGTAGTGTTATGCCACTGGATGGAATACAGGAATAATATGCTTATTGATTCGTTTGGCGTTTGGAATGGATGGCAACATGTTCGTGCTTTCCTGTTTTCATTACTCCTTTTTTCAAATTGAACTTCATTCCCTTGAGAGTTTAATGAAATTTATGATATGGTAATGCATTTGGACCATTGATATTAATATGCAATTTTATGCTATTTTTTCTTGTGATTTGAATTACTCTTGCAATGAATGAATGGGAGCTAATTGGAGTAAGTTGATGATGGGTACGATAGATAGCATGCATGCATGTTTGTGACATATATGAAAACAGGAAAGCACGAACATATTGAGTGAACTATTTTTGTTTATTTAGCTAATTATAGGTTTTATTTTTTGAAGCAGATTTTTAGTACTAACAGAATTTTTTATTAACTCTGCCACCACCACCAACCTCAACTGCACCACGACCACTCCCAAACACAGCACCATCGTAAACTGTCGTCATTTGCTCTTCCTCTTCCACCACCACTCTCAAAGATGGAAGAGTGCAGTAAAAAAAAAATTAGAGAACTATTCTTCTCAATTCAATGTCGTAGAGGTAATTTAGTCTTTGCAATCTCTTTTTATTCGTTAATATGAATTTAATTTAATTTAATATTATTTATAGTCTTTTTTAAGTATGATTATATTCTAATTTTGGTTATTATAATATCAATAAATTAGGATAATCACTTTCAAGAAACAGAAGATACAAGAAACGCAGAAGAGGGTTGGAAGCCTGAGTTTGGAATGGTTTTTGATTCATTTGATGAACTTTTACAATACTACAAAAGCTATGGGAACAAAAGAGGTTTTGAAGCTATTATAAGATCTTCAAGGAAAGGAGATGATGGAGAGTTGAGATATGCAACCTTGGCTTGTTCTTGTAGCGGGAATGGAATAGTAACTCTAGAAATGCCTTTAAAATGCATCCGGTGATAAAAACTGATTGTAAGGCTCACATTACTGCATCTCTACATTCTAATGGAAAATGGCAAATATTGTCAATTGTCATTGATCATAACAATGAACTTAGTAGTCCTGGAAAAACAAGATATTTTAAGAGCAATCGAATTATACAACCATATGTGAAAAGAAAGATTGAATTGAATGACAAGGCTGGGATTAGACCAAACAAGAACTTCAATTCCTTGTTAGTTGAAGCTGGCAGTGGTGAGAATTTGCCTTTCCAACAAAAAGATTGTAGAAACTACATTGAAAAAGTTAGAAGGCTATGACTTGGTGTTGGAGATGCTTCTGCAATCCAAAAATATTTTATGAAAATGCAAAATGAGAATTTAAATTTCTTCTACATAATGGATTTAGATGAAGATGGTCAATTAAAGAATGTTTTATGGGTGGACGCAAGAAGTAGGGCCACATTTAAAGAATTCGGTGACGTTGTGACATTCGGCACTACATATTTGACTAACAAGTATAATATGCTGTTTGGTGCTTTTGTGGGTGTTGATCATCATGGCCATTCGATACTGTTAGGTTATGGGTTAATCTCCAATGAGGACACAGAGACGTTTGTTTGGCTATTTCAATCTTGGCTTGTATGTATGTTGAATTGTGCTCCTAAGGCAATAATCACTGATCAAGATAAGGCCATGCAAAATGCAATCAAGATTGTATTCCCTGGCACACGACATGGATGGTGTTTGTGGCATATAATAAAAAAATTACTCGAAAAGTTAAGAGGTTATAGTCAATATGAAGGTATTAAATTTTCTTTGCAAAATGTTGTGTATGATTCATTGACATGTGAGGAGTTTGAAGAACGGTGGAATATGTTCATTGATAAATACAACCTTCATGATAATGGTTGGTTACTCGGATTGTATAATGAAAGACAACGTTGGGTGCCGGCTTTTGTAAAAGACATTTTCTGGGCAGGTATGTCTACTACTCAACACAGTGAAAGTATGCATGCATTCTTTGATGGATATGTTAATTAAAAAACCACTTTAAAACAATTTGTGGAGCAATATGAGAATGAATTGCGGGATAAAGTAGAAAAAGAAAGGGAGGTTGATTTTAAATCTTTTAGATCATGGATCCCTTGCATAACGACTTATGCTATTGAGAAACAATTTCAAGATACATATACCATTGTGAAATTCAAAGAGTTTCAACAAGAGCTAGCGGCTAAGATCTATTGTGATTTATCTTCTTTCAAAGAGACTGATTCCTGTATGGAATTTATAATAGAAGAAGATGTTGTGGTTCGTGTTCCTTTTGTGGTTTGGCCTCAAGTGGTGGCAAGAGAGGCCGCGAGAGAGAGAGGAAAGGAGATTTGAACTTGAGGGTTTGCAAATGAATTTGGGGATTAAGATTTGATTCATGGGGTAACGCTAAATTTTGAAATTTAGAGTTAGAGAATTTTTTTTATTTTTTTTTTAATTTTTTGGGGGAGTGACTTGGCATATGGCTAACGTGGCAGATGAGGTGGCATCTGCCACATCAGCTGCCATGTCATTTGTAAGGGAGTGATGTTTGTGTAGTGTTGTTGTTTTAGGCCTCATCCAATTTATCACTATTCTCCGTTATTAAATACACTACTATTGTATTTTAAAAAGGAAAATAATATAATTATCGAAAGGGGTGAACCAAATTCATGCATCGAATAATGTGGCACAATCATGACTGTCGATTAATTATGAGTTAATATTAATCGACGGTCAGGATTTCATCACGTCATTTGACGTACTCCTTTCGGTAACTGTAACATTAGTCTTTAAGAAATTCTCTTTTAATATTAAAAATAACCCTTATTAATTAGGTTTAGTTAAAGTTTTTATTTACACCATTTTTTTCCCAATTTTAAACTTAATTAGGGTTTTTGTTTAGGCTGCCTTTCCCTGAAATCTTAATTAGATTTTTTTATTTATTTATACCCCCTTTTCCCATTTTCAAATTTAAAACTTATTTTTTTCTTTTTCAAATTCATCTTTTGATTGTTTTCTTCATAGCTTACTTAATTTTAAATTACATTACCAAAACTTTTCACTTTATATTTTAACCTTATTTAATTAAAAAGTTGCTCTTATTATGCATATGTATCACTTTTGATTGCACCCATGTGATAAAATGTATTATAAAGAATTTGTAACTGCAAGATTTTTAAAAGGGTATATATCATTTTATTTGACGACAAAACTATATTATAAAGTTCTAATAATTGGTTGGCTAGTTATCCTCAGCTCTGTTGAGGTTTGGGTTTTACCAAGATATCCCAAATGTATCAAAGACATCCTGACCTCTTCTCACATTTAAAAATTATCCAATACCTCCCTGGTACTATTTATCAATGGTCAAATTGGCAAAGGGTTAAAGTTATCAAATCCCATGTCTTAGCCATCCAACCAAAAAAAGCCAGTTCATGCTTCCAAAATTGTTGCCACATGGATCGTCTCCATCGCTGCCTCTATGTTGTTTGTATCATCACTGTAATACAAAGTGGGTGAGCATGGATAAAGGGTATAATAGAATCTGAATCGGCGGGTACCCACCTACCGATTCTGAGTAGGAACCAAAACCAGCCCCATTAGGGTCAGGTTCTAGTTCTGGAAAATTGGAATCGAAAATTTTCGGTTGTGGTTCCAATTCCTATAGTGTTGGAACCGGGACTAAATTGCAAAATTTTATAAACTATTGGAGGTGAATTAATTTTTTCAGATTGTATTTGTCATTTTCTAAAAAGTAAGGGGTAATTACGATTTACTTGGGTACCCGGAACCAGAACCTATGTTTCCGATTTTGGTTCTAGGTTTCTAAGAATCAAAACCAGTCGGTTCCGGTTCCAAATCTTAGGAACTGTACAACTTTGATTCGGGTTTCAGTTCCGGTTCCTTAAAAAAATACAGGGTACATGAAACCAATCACCCCTATTATCACTATGACCAACATGATCATCATAAGTCGCAAAATCACACAAAGCCTAATTGGTTTAGTGAAGTTGAGTTTAAACTTAACACAAAGCAATATAATATAAAACTTGAATATAACACACAAACTAATGGCTATGTCAATTAAACTTAATGCATGTTATCATAATAGTTGAACAACAAATTACATCTGATATTAGCTATCGAGTAATATTATATGTATAAAGAAATTTTACAAATATTTCTATACAAAATGATGTGATAGAAAATAAAAGCAAAAGTAAATATAATAAGTTTGACTTTTTGTATTTACTCTTCTATTCCTTTTATGTCACATTACTTTATATATAAATTTTTATAAGATTTATTTGTACGTGTAATATTATTGTTAGCTATATATCTCATCAATAAATTACATTTGATATTAACTAGATACCCCTACCCCATTGATAAATTACATGTGATATTAGCTATATGTCCCATCCATGTATATTAATATAACAATTTAAGTACTATCAATTGTGCTATTAGGTTCATTTTTGTAACCTTGACATATATTTATCAAAATTTTAGTTTGTTTTGTTAGATTATGAACAACCATCACAAGAGGAAAAACTAATCCGATATTTTTTTTATGGTGATCGGGGTATCCAGACCAGCTTACGCGCACCTCGACTAATTTCTATGGTCCATTGAACACCCTATAAGCTCAATAGGCCAAGTAAAAAGATGGGTGGGAAGCTGTTCTTTTCATAATTTTGGAAACTGGGGTATTCAGACTAGCTGGTACATATCTCAACTAATCTTTAAGGTCTGTTAAATAATCTACAGCAAGCCCAATGAGAACACAAGAACTTTGGCTAACCCAGAGTCTTGCCATACGACCACAAGCCAAGTGAATCCCGAGGTCCAAGCTAAAAAAAGTAGAAGCTCCATATAAAAGCTTGGGGTGCATTTGGTTCATGATTTTGGATAGGATTTTGAGAATAATATTGGGTAGTTGGATAGGGGAGTATTACAAGGTAAAATTTAAAAATTTATGAAAAAACCCCTAGGTTTGCTAATTTAATTAAATACCCTAATATATAAAATGACAAAAATACCCCCACTACCCGCAGTGCCAGATTTCGGCCACTACCGCTGGAATCTGGCTGAAAAATTTTGTTACGACACATAACGGTCGGATTTACGTCATAACACGTCGCTATGGCCTTTTTCAGCCAGATCCACCATTGATTTGGCCGGAAAAGGCCAGATCTACCGCCAAATGTTGTCGTCGACGGCCGGAAAAGGCCAAAGAAGTCCATCTTTGGCCGTCGTTTTCAGTCAACAATGGCAATTTCTTTGCCCATCGCTAACGGCCAGATCGGTGAACTATCGAAAAGTTATGGTCGTGGTGTAGGCCGTTGTACAGATTCCAGCTACCACCAACGGTGGTTGCTGGAATCTGGCAAGTATGGATTAATGGGGGTGTTTTTGTTAGTTTTTAAACTTTTTTGGGGGTATTTATGAAATTAATAAACTTAAGGGGTCCAAAAGTAATTAAAAAATATAGTAATATTTCTGGAATATTGTGCCAAACAATATTTGGAGAATAAGATTGGGAATATGGGTATAAATATTGAACCAAACGCACCCTTGGTAGCTACTCTTTTTTATACTTTTGGTAAAGGGGGTGCCCAATAGGTTTTGGTGTGACTCGAACACAAGACCTCTAAGTAACGTAAGGTATTGCCATCCAACCACAACCCAAGTAGTTCTAATCTAATAATGTTATTAAACCGATGCTACAATAATGGCAGCGTTTGGTTCAATATTTTTTTTCCATATTCTGGACTGGATTCTTCAGATAACGTTTGGTTCATTTTTTACAGAATACTGTCCCAAAAATGTTTTCCTGACAACTATCCTGACACATTTTTTACTGTTATAGCTTTTCACTTTTCTTCACTACTTTCTTAGTATCCATTTTTTTACCGTTACAGCTTTCACTTTTCTTCACTACTTCACCATTTCCATTACCAGCTTCACTCCTTCACTTCTCAGTTTGCAAACCCAAATTCAGTGCTTCACTTTCTCAAGCGAAAATTACCAGATTTAGTTTTCATTACCAGATTCAGAACCCGTAAATCGCTTTCAAAACAAACCCACCGTGAGCCCGCAATCCCGCAGTCACAAACCCACTGTGAACCCACCTCAGATCCCCAACCACCAACCTGGAAATCTGCAGTCACAAACCCACCGTGAACCCACCTTAGATCCCCAGCCGTGAACTTGCAATCCTCAACCATCGTGAACCCAGATCTGTCACACACTCACCGTGAACCCACCTCATCTCCCCAACCACCGTGAACCCAGATTTGTCACACACCCACCGTGAACCCACCTCAGATCCCCAAGCACCGTGAACCCACCTCAGATACCCAACCACCGTGAACCCACCTCAAATCCCCAACCACCGTGAACCCACCTCAAATACCCAACCACTGTGAACCCACAATCCCCAACCACCGTGAAGCCAGATCTGTCACACACCCTTCACCGTTTAGCCACCACCGTGAACCCAGCTCTGTCACACACCCATCTCAGATCTTGTTTTGTTTGGCAAATTGTTGGAAAGGTGTTTTGCTTTTTTTATTTGGTTGGCACATTGTTGGAATTGAGTTTTTGTTTTATTTTTGACACACATTAATCCTTTTAAATGCGTTTTGGTTTTGTTTGGCAAATGGTTGATAAATGTTTTTGTTTTATTTTAAATGCGTTTTTGTTTTGTTTGGCAAATGGTTGATAAATGTTTTTGTTTTATTTTGACACGCATTAATCTTTTAAATGGGAGGTTTTTGTTTTGTTTGGCACACGAATGATTTGTTTTAATAAGCTTTTGTTTTGTTTTACAGTTTTTAATATTTTATTCGGATTTCACTAATTGATATATTTGTTCTGTAGATTCGACGTTATTCTTTAATCGTAACAAGAAATTATGCTTATATGCACAAATGTCAGTATAATTTGTCTCGACGTTGTAGGATTGATTACTACTTGCAGCAGAGGCAAAAGTTTTGACGTTTTTCCAGACTTGGAGTTCACCATACACCCTGTTGGTCGACATTGTCTGTATCTTCCCCTGCACTGACGTCTTCAAGCAGTGTCAGATCGAACGAGGTATAAGTTTATAAGTTTATGTGTTTAGTTGATTACGTTAACATGTGAGGATTATATTTTGTAAAGTGATTGGTGATTCGTATGGTGTCCCAATGTTGGTTGTCCCTCATCGTACTGTCCTTAGATGAGTTATTATGTGGCCTAGTCCGCTGAGATGACCCACAAATTTCTGATCCTGTTATCTGAGTGGGCCAAAACTTCGCACGGTACTATAATGAAAATAGCAGATTACCAGGCAATGTTGGATGACATATCATCAGTGGCTGGCAGGAGACTCAACGTCACACAATTAACCTCTAAGTTCTTTCGCCTACGAATAACTTATCAAGCATGGCAGAAATTACTGCAACACACAGGGTTTGGGTGGGATCACGAGTCACAAAGTCCAACGTGTCCCCTAGTCCGCTGAGATGACCCACAAATTTCTGATCCTGTTATCTGAGTGGGCCAAAACTTCGCACGGTACTATAATGAAAACAGCAGATTACCAGGCAATGTTGGATGACATATCATCAGTGGCTGGCAGGAGACTCAACGTCACACAATTAACCTCTAAGTTCTTTCGCCTACGAATAACTTATCAAGCATGGCGGAAATTACTGCAACACACGGGGTTCGGGTGGGATCACGAGTCACAAAGTCCAACGTGTCCCGTTGAGGTTTGGCAAGAATATGTCAAGGTAAATTTTCATATTTTTTAACTAATATTATTTTACGACACCGTAAATGTACGCATTTTTTTCGGATTGCTAAATATTAATATATTATTATTTTAACTTACCAGCAAAACCCACTGGTGCAACAATTTTACGACAAGGGACTTCCTCACAAGGAGCTTTATGAAATAATATTTGAGAAGCAAACTGCCACTAGAAGATATGCGTACACATCTACATCCCAACAGGTGGAGACCTCCAGTTATTCCAATCTCGGCGCGGTTCCCATGGATGATAGCGACTTTGAACCTAATCATGATCGGACAACAGGGGAAAAACGGCCAAACACATCTGGCCATGGAAGAGCGAGAAATAGGAGGCACAGAAGCGGCCGAGCACAATCACTTGTTGATGCCATTTTTAGCTTGACGGACGAGCTTGCAGAGAAGCAGACTATGAGATTGAAGGCTAGCAATCGCAGTATAGATGAGAGGGAAGAAAAGAACACCAATGCTCCATGTGATCATTTTTCCATGAGCAATTGTATTGACATCATGACGGTCATGCAAGTACCTACACAGTTTTACCTGCCGGTTGTCACGTACTTATATGAAAATCCAGGGTGGCGGGAGATATTCGTGAAACTCCCATTGGAGGAAAAGGCTAACTAGATTTATAACAACTTTTCCAATAATAAGTAGAAGACACTATATTTCATAAGTGTTTGGCAACAATTTTGTATGCGTCAATGGGCAATTGTCATTACAATTACAATTTATAACACTACTGTATGAACTTATTTATGTGATATTACATTTGTAAACACCGTTTTCGATTGTCATTACAATTAAATATTGACTGTAATATTTTGCTAAGTAGTATAACAACTGTTAATTGTTGATAAATGTTTTGCAAATGTGTAGGTTTAAATGGCATCGTCTAGCCGTATAGGAAGAAGACGACGTGCTAAAGATGAGAGGGACGAAGAAGAAATACTGACAGATATAGCCGTTGCACTCTGCGGTGTTGCCACGTTAGAAGCAAGTGGGCATGAACCACGACATACATCCGTATTAACTGGTCATCAGTACATGTTGGAAGTACTCAACAGTCATCCTGACAGGATCTATGACAAGTGCCGCATGGACAAAGACTGTTTTACATTGTTATGTGAAATTTTGTCCGATCAAGGCAAATTGCAACCAACCAGGAAGATAAGTTTGGAAAAACAAGTTATGATATTTCTAACAATCGTTGGAAAAAACGAGACAATCAAAACGATGATGGAGGATTTCCAACATTCGGATGAGACGATCTCTAGACATGTTACTGCAGTTTGCGACGCTATATGTGAGTTGAAGACAGAGTTTATCAGACCACCTGACTTCAATGATGTTCCATGAGAAATATCAGCCAACAGAAAATATTACCATTTCTTTAAGGTACTGATTCATTATGTTTGCTATTAGTAGGTAGTTAAGTTCATTGCGTTATTAATTTTTTTAGTAGGTTAATATTAGTAAAATTCAATTTTCATGATAGGACTGTATTGGAGCCATGGATGGCACACGTGTATAAGCTTCGGTTCCACGTGAATTTGCCGATAGGTACCGAAATCGCAAAGGATCGATGTCATAGAATGTAATGGTTGTATGCGACTTTAACATGATGTTCACTTATGTCGTTACTGGATGAGAAGGATCTGCGCATGATTCAAGAGTTTTAAATTCAATTATTGATGATCCTAATTCTGGATTCCCACATTCTCCACCATGTATAAGTATTTTCTTGACGTATTATAGCGTATTACCTCCACTGTTAAGGCCCTGTAATTCAAATAAAATGTCTGATATTATTACAGGGAAATACTATTTGGTTGATGCGGGTTATCCAAATAGAGATAGATTCCTCGCCCCTCATAAGCGAATGGCTTACCATATTTCTGATCACCGCCGTAATCGAAGGGGGCCACAAGAGTTGTTTAACTACAAACATGCTTCACTCCGCAATGTTATCGAGAGAACCTTTGGTGTTTTGAAAAGACGGTTCCGTATTCTAAATGGAATGAACAATTACCCGTTGGACAAACAAGGGAAGATTGTTATGTCATGTTGTGTACTTCATAATTTTATCAGAATGTACAATATGGACGACTGTATCTTCGAACAAACCAATAATAGTACGAATAATGAGCAAGGATATTGTGATCGTCAAAACGAGGCAGAATATGGCCGAACTGGAGAAGGATCGAGTCAACCACAACAAAGTATTATAGACAACATGAGGACTGTATAGGATAACATAACGAATGCACTGTGGGCAGCACAGTGGATCATGTCATAGTTGTTAATGGAGTATACGTGTAATAATGATTGTAAGGGTTGATAATTAGTACTTTTATCATATATGTATTAATGTGATATTTTTAAACAGTTGGATTAGTACTTGAAATTAATATGGGTTTTTGTTTTTTAATATTTACGGGTGACAAAATTACCAATAAAATATTTAGTATTATTAAAATGTAAATTGATAAGTTATATATATAATAATACATTATTTTAACAAAATGCAACAAAATATTATATTAATAAATCATTTATAGAAAAAAAATATTAATCAAATATTCAACACAAATATCAAGGTCAAAAAACTCTACCAAACACATATTCTACAAATCATATTCTCGTAATCATAACCCTATCCAACTATCCAATACTATCCTCAAAATCCTATCCAAAATAATAAACCAAACGCACCCAATATTTTTTTGTGATTTTATTCATCCATTAAAACTATTTTAAATAAATAAAAATTAATTAAAAAAGTTAGTCTGTAATACTTTTCAAGAATTCCTCAAATTTTAGATAGATAATTTTGAATTAAATCATCAATTTGTTATTTTTATCTTCATAATTTTTTTTTAATTTTTTTTTGCAACAATATTTATCGGTAAAATAAAACCATACCCAAATAGAAAAGAAAAAAAAAGAAAACCACTTATTAAACCAGCGTATAAAGCACGGGATAATAAACAAAAAAGGAACCCACGTGTGGGTGTAGAAAGAGCGAGTAGGGAAATAAACGCGTACAGTTAATCCCGCCCATATCTCCAAAAATAACAAAAATAAAATCGCGCTCACAACGGTCTCTTCCCGAAACAAGTAAAGAAACAAACAAAGCTCAGGTGGTCTGTCAGCAAATCTTTGCTGTTTGTTGAGGGAGAAAAAAAACCCTAGAAACTTACATTCCCATAACAGTTCTCTTTGTTCAATTCCAAAACAAACAGCCCGAACTTCATTTCTAATTGTTTTAAGAAACAAAGACAAAAACAAATAAAGAAAGTCGTAACTGATACAGAGTGCGTAGTGCTAATGGTGCGCGCTTTGGTAGAGCGACGATGCGTGGATTCGGTGACGATTAACGACGGTGATGATCATGATCGCGATTTTTATGAGTCTGATGATGATTATGATTATGAAGGTTGTGTTGGACGGAAGCTAACGTATATTAGGCTTCCTCAGACTCAGCTCAGTCTCTCTGTTTTGAAGCTCGACGGTTCTTTCTTCGGTTCGTAACTTTTCGTTTTAATATTTCTCTAATGTTGTTGTTTCGTGCGTGTTTTTATTTTCTGAAAGGCTTGTTTGGAAAAGTTGTGTATTTCATGGAAATCACTTTAAATGAATGCATTTGAAAGTTCTTTTTGGAAAAGGCACCAAAATTGGATGCTTCTCCAAAAAACACTTGGATGATTTTTAATTTTAATTTTTATTTAAGTCTTTTCATCTGTTTTGATTATTTGGCTATATTAATGCGCTTCCGACAACGCATCCTTAGGGAAACTTTTTTGAAAATTAGAAGCTGAAAATGGCATATGTTTGAGTGGAGAAGGAAATTTGTTATATAATTGTTATTATTGAAGTTATTTCAAATACAAATTGTGAGATTTTTGTCAAAGAGAGAAGAATTTTTGAGTGTTTGGCGTTGAGTTGTTTGAATTTGACAGAGAATTTTGTTTGCAGATGTGCATGTTGCGAGGAATGTTACAGTGGCGGAGCTTAAAGAAGCCGTAGAGGAAGTTTTTGCTTTGTCCCCAAGGGACAGTCAAGGAAAAATTTCATGGTAAAAGTTGATTAATTGACTATTTTCTGATTACATATATGTAGCTTTGATGAATTGTGTTGATTTATTTATTTTTTAATTTGATGAGCTCAGGATGCATGTTTGGGGACACTTTTGCTTATCCTATGAAGGTCAAAAGTTGGTTAATGACAAAGCTCGAATTCAGGATTTTCGGATCAAGGATGGCGATCAGGTTTGTCTCACTCTTTGATGCTTTAAGGAATTGTTGATTTTTACCTTTCTACCATATCATGGTTCGTTTGGAGCTTGATATTAGGAGTTAGCATAACTTTAAGATGATAACACATTTACATATTCGAAGATACCCTTGGATGATAATAATGTGGGTTATCTTCACTAGGAATAGGGATATATGTATGTTGGAAGTTCAAAATCTGACTATTGTGTTGGGAAACAATTGTTGACTATAAGCTCCATTTGTTAAATGAACATGTTAACTTGTTCCTGTTATATTCTTTTGTTATGACAGATTGACTCTGAAAATATGATCACAGACTACAGTTCTGGATTATTTGTAGCATTAGTAGTAGCTCAAAGTTAATTGGCAGAGACTTGAGACACAAAGGTCCTTGATAGAGAAGTAATTTGGCATGTGCTAAACGTTGTTTTATAAAATTTGAGCTTCCAAATGCATGTGTGAGTGCGACATCAGGTTCTTAATCCTTTCTGGCCTGTAAAGTTGGTTATTGCAAATTTAAGTAAATCTACGTACTACGTTCACATGTATATTAATATGAGTAACAGTTCATCATTTGCATTAGGAGCAATTGCTAAGGCCATAATCTTTTTTCTATGCTACTCACATGAAGTTTTTTTCTGTGGTTTTTGGTAATTAAGCAATCATTTGACATTAACTTGATAAACTCTGGTTCTCCATTCCATACTTTGTAAGATAATCTTCTGATACATCATAAACTACTGAGCTAGATCTCCCTGTTTCTGATTGCCAAGTGGCTTTTCTTTGTAAGCCTTCAACTTCTACTTCTTTGACCTCCCCTCTGCATTCCAAGAACCTGGAAAACAATATTCTTTTACCCATTAGAAAGATTTCAAATGTGAATGGAAGTTCGTACATCTGCATCCTTGCTATGTTTTTTTGGTTTTCATGCATTCTTTGTGGGGGATTCCTGTATTATCTTTTTTATTTTATTTTTTTCCAGTATTTCAGTAGCTGCTTACAAATCTCTCTATTTTTTTTCTGTTTTGGCATCTGCAGCTTCAATTTGTTAGGCATATGTCTATCGACTACTTACATTCAAAAAGACCGTCTAGAACCCAGAGTGTTGTTTCCACCCAGCATTCAATGTAAGAATCTCTGTTTGGTTTTTACAATGGTTAACTTAACCATGCATGTTCATCATTAGAAGAAGCTTTGTGTTTTCACCATTGTGTATAAGTCACAGCTTGTTTAGGAATATTTTCTTAGATGAAGGTTAAAAGAGCTTATAAGAAAAAACAAGATAACAAACTTAGTAAACAGATCTGAAACAAATAGCTCTAACCTTTTTCCCTCTTAAACTCTTATAGCTCGTTCCTCTAGTTTGAGATTAGCATGGTTGAGTATTGCAGGATATAAACGTACCCAAAGTAGATAATGCTCTTAATTATTTAAATGTTAGAGAAGTAAAAGTATGAGACAAAAGTTTGTTGTGGATAATGAAGACAATTCAAACTGGTTGATTCTGGTTAGCTGTGAGGCCAACATCCCTCTCTTGATTATCTTGTTAACAATTATTTGAAATATCCATTCATTTTCTACATTCTGCTTATTGAGAAGTGGAACTGAAAGCTTTTTATATAAGGTCATCATCAGGATCAGATGCTCTTGAAGAGATGAGACATACTTATCTTGCTGATAAAGAAAATTATTTAGAAAATCAAGAAGTAAGCTCATCATCAGGATCACATGGTTGTGGAGAGAAGAGACATCCTGGTCTCGCTTATGAAGATAGTTTACGAAATCAAGAGGACAGCTACAACTACTATAATTATGAACATGTGGAGGAAATGCCTGCGCCAGAGTTCAAGTTGGCTCACTTCCTAAGAGGGTGGTTGTCATACACCAGATTGTGGGGTGTTTCAAGAAGGACATCAGAAGGCAAGAGCCGTCCTTCCAGATTCGCTCGACATCGCTTAGCAGGTGCACACAGCAATATGGTACAGCTTTGACTCTAATTAGGCATGGTTGTAGAACTTAGTAGGCCAGAGTCAGATGATACATCTAATACATGTCGAGCTTTCCAATGTAAGGTGTGCCCTTGGGCCACATTTTGTTTTAGAACATATTATACATCAAGTTCTCTCAAGTAGGCTATTCAAGTTTATCCAATGCAAAAAGTTTGTTCACTTGGCGCAGGAGTTGGGAAACTCAGAACTAGTTCACTTTACATGTTTTTCGGCTCTGTTTATCTGATGTTAGATGTTCACTGAAAGTAGTCGTTTATTTTGTTCGATCCATCTTTCCTTTTTGCCGGGCGAAATTTTGGGATTTGGGAGTGCTGAGGATATTCATATTCTTATATTCAGTGTTCTTGGCTGGTTTAGCATTCCTGAATTTATGACTAATCTTTCATTCTATGAAACGTGCACCAAGTTCTTTTTATTAATAGATGTTTTCATCTCCCTTTCCTGTGCTGTGGATGGCTGAATGCTCATCTTGTCTTCTACGTGCTAATGGTTTTGTGCGAATATAGATGTATTAAAACTCTCCATTCTTATAATGAAAAATTTGTCCACACGCCTCACCCTCTCTTGACCAAAAGCTTACACTATCTGCTCGCATTAACTAAACTTTTTCTTTTTCTTCTGTTACAAAATCTTTCCCTTTCTTACACAACTCATCTCTGTTTTAAAACTTGGACTGGACTGGACCGATCAGGACCTTGTAGTCTCTTCGGTCCGGTTCAGATTTTAGGGGGTTTTGTTATATTTCAAATTTATAGGGAATTGGGGGGTGTTCAACATTTCAAAACTTTAGGGACTAATTGAATTTTTGGGTATCTTCAAAGTAAATTAAAATTTTGGGGACTAATTTAAAATTTATTTGGGGGTTTTTAAATATACTTAAATTTAAGGGCTTAATTTATAATTTTTAAAAATATTTTTGTTACTGACGTCACCAATCCAATTGTTGGATTGGTCAACCCGTGACTTGATCAACTAATCGGGTTTTGCAACGAGTCGGTTTTTAAAACAATACAACTGACAACTTCAATGCGTTTAGTTGAAATCATTTCCCACACACTAATGTTAGATTGGTTTTTATATCTAATTAATATTTGTAATACTACATACAGAATGGATCTAAACCAAAATTGATTTGAGGAGTAAACCTAAACCTAATACATATTTAATAAATTTTACAAATTATAAGGTGTTTTTTAAAATTGAAATAATTATTTATGTGGCCTTATTTTAAGAGTCAAATTAAAGACAGTCCATCTCTAATTATCTTTGTAAGTAAGACCTTTGACACAGAGTTAGGACGATTTTGCCCTTCTCCTTCAATTTAATTAATTCACTTCTTTCTTTCTCCTCTTTTTTCTTTAAATTTATGTTTTTTTTTTTTATCATTTTTATATATTTAGGATAATATTATGTTCATATGTGTTTAATATAAGTGAGACATTGCATATTTAGGGGGGAAAAAACCCACTTTCTCATATTTGAATCATAAATCTGATTTCTAGAAAAATTGCAAAATCTTAAGTCGCTCTCTTCTAGTTGCTCGAGTGGGTTATAATGGTATTAACCTTGCTCGAGTAAGTCTTCTTAATATTTTATATGGGTTATATTAATATGTGTACACTTGAACAAGGTTAATATCATTATACCCCCACTTGAGCGATTGAACTCGAGCAACTTGAGTGACTAGGTGCAAACAATTTAAGTTTATTCAAATTTGTTCGGGTTTGATAATCATTTTTCAGGAAAAAACTGAATTTTCAACCTAATTTGAATTAACACGATTTTTTTTTTTTTTGTTTTAAACATGTTTCTACATTTTATGTACCTTTTAATGCTAAATTCTCTCAAAAAACAAACCAAAAATCCATAATATTTACATTTCAATCTTAAATCGAAAACTTTTTTTTTTTTTCATTTTAATGAAAATATATAAGTGTGTTTGTTTTATTATTTTGAGTAGTATTTTTGAAATATTGTTGTTAAGTTGAGTTGAGTTATTATTACGAGGTAAGATTGAAAATTAACAAAAAAAAAACCTATAGGTTTGTTAATTTAGCTAAACACCCCTAATAATAAAAAGTTTATAAATTAACAAAAATACCCCTTATCCACCCATAGTTGCTAGATTTCGGTCACCACCATCGGAATCAGGTAGGAATCTAGTATCATTCCACACAATCGGCCAGATCTGGCTAGTCATGCGCTGCTATGGTCTTTTCCGGCCAAATTCACCACGAATCTAGTTAGAAGATGCCAAATCTACAGTCGAATCAGGCCTGGTTGTCAACGACGGACAAATATATGGTTGTCATTGATGGTCAATGACGGCCATATATTAGCCATCATTGACGGCCAGATGTGGTTAAAGATCTGACATTTTTTGGTCAGATCCACTTTTCTAGATCGGCGCACTACCAGCTGGATCTACGCCAGATTCCGAAAATCTGACAAATGTGGTTGGGTGGGAGTGTTTTTGTCAATTTATAAAACTTTTTGTTGGAGGTGTTTAGTTAAATTAACAAACCTATGGGGGTTTAAGGTAGTTAAATATTATAGGATATGATTTTAAGAATAGGAAAACAAACTGCAATTTTTTTAGGATAGAAATAGAGTATTTTTAAAAAACAGGAAACAAACGCAACCGATATTTTTGTGATTAAGTGTGATTGTGTGAAGGATAAAATAAAAGTACCCAAAATTCTCATAAGAAATCTTACTTAAAAATTTATTTAAAAGCTAGTTATTTTTTAATATGATATTTTGAAAAGGTCAATTAAATAAATTTCCCTTGAAAATTAGCCCTTCTGTTTATATAGACCTGGCAAAACGAGTAGGTGGGTCGGGTACGGGTCGGGTCTCACGGGTATAGGCCTAAAACAGGTCGATTTAAACGGACCCGCACCCTACCCTATACAAGTATGGGCGGACCCGCGGGTGCTCATACTGTTCACTCTAGTTTTAGTTTTTTGCAGTTACACCCCCAAATCTTCATTTTTGAGCAAAATTTGTCACCAACCAAACAGAAAAAAGAAACCCACGTTTTCTCCCAAGTTTTCTCACCAGCCAAACAGAAACCCAGAACCTAACAAAGAAAAAGATTAAAAAACTTTATTGATTGTCCTTTCATTCCTCCTCATCAACCAAATAAACCCACATAAAAAAATCTGAAAAAAGAAAAAATTTACAGAAGAAAAGCAACAGTTTGAGAATGAATTGACTCTACAAACAAGCAAAGATTGAACAGATTTGAGTATCCTCTTTTACTGTTTAGTTTTTGAAACTTCTGCCGTAGATTCTCCACTCTTCAGTCTTCATCCCAATCAAAACCTAACTCTGACTTTAATCACCTCCACTTCCACCCACTTCCACTCTCCACGTCCCACATGCCACCTGCTGCCCATACCTCATCACTGATCACTGCCACGAATATCAACTTTTGAGTTCCGCCTTTCTCTTCACAGATATAATACAAGAGACATACAAAAATACAGCTCAGATTATACACAACTATCGATGATGTCTGAAGGTAAAAGAACGGAGCCAGAGAAGAGGAAACTAGGGCAAAACGACGACGGCGAATCCGGGTCACAAAAAAAGGCGCGAGAAGTTAATGGAGAAGGGATGACTGTGACAGAGGAGAAGCGAAACGAAGACAGGAGAAACGGCGACGATGAGTTTGAGAGGAGAAGTGGCGACGATGAGTTTGAGAGAGTTAGGGATTTCGTGATTTGGGGCAAAAACATGGCTAAACCCCAATTTAGAATTTAGGGTATCCCTGCAAAATGAAAAGGGGAAAAACAAACGGGTGCCTGCGGGCACCCATGGGTGTACCCGCTTAACCTGTTGGAAAACTAGTTGGGCCAAGTACGGGTAGAAGAAAAACGGGTCTAATATTGAAGACTCACACCCTATATTTTTTATCCGAGTTTAGGGTCAACCTGCGGGTCCCGACCCATTTTGTCAGGTCTATGTTTATATACCTGAAAGAATAAAACTATATATAATAACCAATGTGTACTAATCTAAGTACTAATATTGAAAATTTGAAATTTTATCTAAAAAAATTTAAATTTTTAATGTTAGAACTTGGATTACTACATATAGCATTATTCATACTGAAAATGGAAAAAAGTTTGTTGAATTCGGCCGTATTGTGCATTATTCTAGGCTATATGTATGTGTTAAATAACCGCAACTATCTATGACACGTGAAGAGTAGGATATTATTAACTGACGTGGCGAACACTCGACACAGACAGCACCAAATATTGCATATTCCCTCACGTAACGGTTCTCTTCTTTATCTCATTCCTCGTCTCGGTGATTATTTGTCGTTTTCTCCGAAACAAAATCAATAATAATAACAGACTTCGTTCTAGGGTTCACTTCGAATTTGGAAACTTCACTTGGAAATTCTTCTCTCAATCGGTGAGTTAATGATACTTGCTTTCTCTTGCTGCGTTTGTTTCCCGAGAAAATAATTAATTAAAAGCTTTTATTTTGTTCTTCAAACTGATTTTATTTTATTTTATTTTTTTTAATTTCTGTGCTTAAAAATGTGCTGGTACTTTAACATGACTGTGTGATCGTTTTTATATAGATATCAGTCTGGTGAATGAGTATTGATTGAACAACGTGCTTTCTCGGATGATTTTTTTTTTTTTTTTGGTTCTACAGGACTGCAGGATGTTTTTCTGTTTCTTTTTCGAACCAAGGATATCTGTTTCTGATAAGAACAGACTTCGGGAGAATTAGATGAAAATTATGGGGTCATTTAGTTAATTATCTAAACTTAATTTTCAAAACTTAATATACAACTTAAAAAATATATGTTACCTCTAAATTTTTTAATATTCGAATTTGTGTGATACGGTATTCAAAAATTTATTTTCAGAGAACAATTTTTGAAAACCTAGAGTGACTTTTTTTTTTTTTTTTTTTCTATAAGTTTATTTTAAAATAACCTTTTTGATAAACAAAGTTGTATCATAATCAGTTGCTGATCGATAAATCGGTTTCTTTCAGTTTTTGTTAATAGATGGGTGTTTTTCTTTACGGTGGAGCCCTGGAAGCAGGGTGGTGTTAATTTTGAAGGTTAAGTTAAATGGCTTAAATTTGTATCTTTGGTCTTTATATCAAAAACTTTTTTTGTGTTCTAGAGGGATTGGGAGGGTGAAGTTCAAGGAATGATATGTTTTAGACTGAATTAATTGGATATTATTATTATTATTTTGTTAGTGATTATTTGTGCGAAGTGGAAGTTTTAATGACTTGGTAACAGTTCTAGTTGGTTCTGTCAACTTCCACAAAACTGGAAATTATAATAATGATTCGATCTTTGTATGCACAAGGGTCTCGTGAGGTGTAATTAAGGCTTTACTTTAATTGGTGAGGATGGAATGGGTATTCTGTTGTGTTACATTCTCGGAATGTTAGTTTTTTAAATGTATTTTATTGGTTGCCACTGTTCTATTAGGGTGTTTAATGAATTCTTAACTTCTTGCTTGTTCTTTGTACTATACTGTTTTAGCAGTGGAAGATGGCTGAACAGATTGGAATAACCAAGCCAGCAGCTTCATTTGAGTATGAACTTTTAGAAGGGGATCCTGATCACGTTAGAACTGTTGTAGCTACTCCTTCTCAGGCTAAGCCTTGGTTTGAGCCTGATTCGGTGAAACTTAAGCATAGGATTGGAAGAGGTCCCTTTGGTGATGTTTGGTTGGCGACTCATCATCAGTCAGCTGATGATTTTGATGAGTATCATGAAGTGGCTGTAAAGATGTTGCATCCACTGAAGGAAGACTGTACAAAAACTTTTATTGATAAATTCGGGGAGTTGTTTCTGAAGTTTAGAGAACTTCCAGGTGTTTGTTGGTTGCATGGTATTTCAGTCATAAATGGAAAGGTGAAATCTTGAAAATGTTTATATTTTTTTCACATGCTTTGGGTGTTTATGGTTTTAAGGTTTTTAGTGGACCATTTTAGCTCTCCTTTATCTGTCTTTTGGTTACAATAGTTTCCTTATTGTTTTATGATATTATCTATCTATTTACTGTTTGATGTCTTGGCAGGTTTGCATTGCCATGAAATTTTATGAGGGATCTGTTGGTGATCGAATAGCTCAACTGAAAGGAGGCAAGCTTCCATTGCCTGACATCTTAAGGTGTTATATTTATCTTCTGGAAGTTTATAATCTACTTTCTTTCTTTTCACCTTATTATTTTTCTTAGCTGAAAATGGGTATTGGAAAAGGTCGGTAACACCCTTAACCAAGCAGCCCCCATTCTAGGTTCCTTGATAGTTATAAGGCTGTGTCCTGATAGATATAAGGCTGTATGACTGCTTTGCCTGTTTGGCGCAGTCATTGTTGTCGATAAAACAATGCATATCCTCTGAAGATGCAAATGTTTACAGGTATGGGATCCAGTTGTCAAAAGGAATCTTGGGGTTGCACTCTATTGGACTGCTGGTTTTGAATTTGAAGCCTTCAAATTTCTTGCTTAATGAAAATGACCAACTCATCCTGGGAGATCTTGGGTTGCCATATCTACTTCTTGGATTTCCATTGTCTGATTCTGATGTGGCTCTCAGACTTGGAACCCCAAACTACATGGCCCCAGAACAGTGGGAACCAGAAGTGAGGGGTCCTATAACTTTGGAGACGGATTCTTGGGGTTTTGGATGTAGCATAGTGGAGATGTTGACTGGTGTCCAGCCCTGGTTTGGGAAATCAATTGACGAAATATATCATTCGGTAGTTATTAAGCAAGAAAAACCATATATTCCAAGTGGCCTGCCCCCTGCCGTGGAGAATGTTCTTAAGGGTTGCTTTGAGTATGATCTCCGTAATCGTCCTCTAATGGCAGATATCTTGCATGTCTTTGAAAGGTATTTTCTGATTTGTATAGTTTCTGTTATTGCAATATCCATTAAGATCCTAAGAACATTAGTCTTTTGCAAATATTTTATTTTGATATTCTACTTTTTCTTGTTTGTATTGTGATAAATTTCTTCTGAACTTGCAGCTCGCAGAATGCTGTTTACAGTGATGGAGAATGGAGTGGTATAGGAAGCAGAGTACTTATGGAAAAACCGGGTGTTAAAGGCTATACTTCTTGGTATCTTTTGAAGGATCATCTCCAAGTGGGTGACTCAGTCCGTTCAAGAAAGCCGCTCAATGGACGTAGGCCTCAGAGAATGGATGTTCCTGAGGGAACTGTGGTTGGTCTGGATACTGATACAGAGAGGAGTGGTTTTGTTCTGGTTAAAATCCCTTCAATGCACAATCCTCTAAAAGTGCAGGAGTCGACTCTCGAGAGGGTTTCATCTGGCTTTGCTGTGGGGGATTGGGTGCAGTTAAAGGATGAAAACAACAAGCATTCTACTGTTGGAATTCTGCACTCTGTGCAACGTGATGGAAGAGTCGCAGCTGGATTCATAGGGTTGGAGACTCTTTGGACGGGAAATGCTTCTGAGATTCAAATGGCCAAGGCTTATTATGTGGGGCAATTTGTGAGGCTCAAAGCAAATGTGTTCACTCCCAGGTTTGAATGGCCTCTTAAGAGTGAAGGAGAATGGGCCACTGGGAGGATCTCGCAAGTACTTCCAAATGGTTGTCTCATTGTAGGATTCCCAGGAAGGTTTGTGTTTGGACAGGAATCGAACAACTCCCTGGCAGATCCTGCAGAAGTGGAACTGGTGTCTTTTGAAACTTGTCCGGGCATGGTGGAGAAGTATCAACATATTGAAGATTACCACTGGTCTGTGAGGCCACTTGCGATTGCGCTGAGTTTATTCACAGCCATGAAGTTTGGCTTGTTTGTTGGACGAAGTGTCAGTTCAAAACTGAAAAAGCGTAGGAGTTCCACCAGAGGCGACAGCCAGGATGGCCCTGCCGGCAGCAATGCAGCTTGGCTTCCATCACCGGTTGCAAACATCATTTTCAGAGAAGGAAACCCTCCCACTGCTGCTGCTAGGTAAATTCAATTTGGGTAAGTTTGATAAATTTGATGTGAAGTACACTATGATCTCTGGGTGTTTTCACATTCATAATTGGGATGATATCATAAGGTCACATGGATGAAGTTATTCGCTGCTGTTAAAGCAGAAAAAACATATTTTGCCATTGATCATGAGACAACGATGTACATATGTATATAAAAGATTTTAAATATCAATAATATTAGATATCCTAAAAGTTATCTAGAATTTCTTATCTTAAGTGATGTGTCATCTTATGTGATGATGAGATGTAAATAAATAGATGATTTAGTGGATGACGTGGCAATGCCAAATAGGATGACACGTCATTTGGGATATGCAATATACAGTGGTGATAATTTTTATTAAATTAATTGAAAGAGTTGTTGGTTTTGTCTCTCTTAACACTCAAAAGTCTCTTTCTTTACCCCACAAAAGAAAAAAGAAATAACCTGTTAAATCCACCCTTTCTTCCCTCCTTTTCTCTCTAAATTTGCTGCTCTTTCCCTCCCATTCCCTCTTTCACAATCACCAAACCCCTCCGCTTCCGCCCCTTCGTTGTGCCACACAACCTTTCAACTATGAATCCAAACTCTGCTACAAACACCTTAAATCCACTTCTCTCAAAATTGTCATTAGTGGCTCTGGCAACTGCGAACAGTTTCTCTCCAAAACCTTTTCCTGCCAAAATCTAGGTCTCTTTGTTCACTCTCGCTGAGACTGTAGTCCCCTGTGGTGCTCAACAATTTAACGCTTGATTCTACTCCCACATTCATGACCTTAGTGGTCAGGGTCTCGTGAGGTGTAATTAAGGCTTTACTTTAATTGGTGAGGATGGAATGGGTATTCTGTTGTGTTACATTCTCGGAATGTTAGTTTTTTAAATGTATTTTATTGGTTGCCACTGTTCTATTAGGGTGTTTAATGAATTCTTAACTTCTTGCTTGTTCTCTGTACTATACTGCTTTAGCAGTAGAAGATGGCTGAACAGATTGGAGTAACCAAGCCAGCAGCTTCATTTGAGTATGAACTTTTAGAAGGGGATCCAGATCAGGTTAGAACTGTTGTAGCTACTCCTTCTCAGGCTAAGCCTTGGTTTGAGCCTGATTCGTTGAAACTTAAGCATAGGATTGGAAGAGGTCCCTTTGGTGATGTTTGGCTGGCAACTCATCATCAGTCAGCTGATGATTTTGATGAGTATCATGAAGTAGCTGTAAAGATGTTGCATCCACTGAAGGAAGACTGTACAAAAACTTTTATTGATAAATTCGGGGAGTTGTTTCTGAAGTTTAGAGAACTTCCAGGTGTTTGTTGGTTGCATGGTATTTCAGTCATAAATGGAAAGGTGAAATCTTGAAAATGTTTATATTTTTTTCACATGCTTTGGGTGTTTATGGTTTTAAGGTTTTTAGTGGACCATTTTAGCTCTCCTTTATCTGTCTTTTGGTTACAATAGTTTCCTTATTGTTTTATGATATTATCTATCTATTTACTGTTTGATGTCTTGGCAGGTTTGCATTGCCATGAAATTTTATGAGGGATCTGTTGGTGATCGAATAGCTCAACTGAAAGGAGGCAAGCTTCCATTGCCTGACATCTTAAGGTGTTATATTTATCTTCTGGAAGTTTATAATCTACTTTCTTTCTTTTCACCTTATTATTTTTCTTAGCTGAAAATGGGTATTGGAAAAGGTCGGTAACACCCTTAACCAAGCAGCCCCCATTCTAGGTTCCTTGATAGTTATAAGGCTGTGTCCTGATAGATATAAGGCTGTATGACTGCTTTGCCTGTTTGGCGCAGTCATTGTTGTCGATAAAACAATGCATATCCTCTGAAGATGCAAATGTTTACAGGTATGGGATCCAGTTGTCAAAAGGAATCTTGGGGTTGCACTCTATTGGACTGCTGGTTTTGAATTTGAAGCCTTCAAATTTCTTGCTTAATGAAAATGACCAACTCATCCTGGGAGATCTTGGGTTGCCATATCTACTTCTTGGATTTCCATTGTCTGATTCTGATGTGGCTCTCAGACTTGGAACCCCAAACTACATGGCCCCAGAACAGTGGGAACCAGAAGTGAGGGGTCCTATAACTTTGGAGACGGATTCTTGGGGTTTTGGATGTAGCATAGTGGAGATGTTGACTGGTGTCCAGCCCTGGTTTGGGAAATCAATTGACGAAATATATCATTCGGTAGTTATTAAGCAAGAAAAACCATATATTCCAAGTGGCCTGCCCCCTGCCGTGGAGAATGTTCTTAAGGGTTGCTTTGAGTATGATCTCCGTAATCGTCCTCTAATGGCAGATATCTTGCATGTCTTTGAAAGGTATTTTCTGATTTGTATAGTTTCTGTTATTGCAATATCCATTAAGATCCTAAGAACATTAGTCTTTTGCAAATATTTTATTTTGATATTCTACTTTTTCTTGTTTGTATTGTGATAAATTTCTTCTGAACTTGCAGCTCGCAGAATGCTGTTTACAGTGATGGAGAATGGAGTGGTATAGGAAGCAGAGTACTTATGGAAAAACCGGGTGTTAAAGGCTATACTTCTTGGTATCTTTTGAAGGATCATCTCCAAGTGGGTGACTCAGTCCGTTCAAGAAAGCCGCTCAATGGACGTAGGCCTCAGAGAATGGATGTTCCTGAGGGAACTGTGGTTGGTCTGGATACTGATACAGAGAGGAGTGGTTTTGTTCTGGTTAAAATCCCTTCAATGCACAATCCTCTAAAAGTGCAGGAGTCGACTCTCGAGAGGGTTTCATCTGGCTTTGCTGTGGGGGATTGGGTGCAGTTAAAGGATGAAAACAACAAGCATTCTACTGTTGGAATTCTGCACTCTGTGCAACGTGATGGAAGAGTCGCAGCTGGATTCATAGGGTTGGAGACTCTTTGGACGGGAAATGCTTCTGAGATTCAAATGGCCAAGGCTTATTATGTGGGGCAATTTGTGAGGCTCAAAGCAAATGTGTTCACTCCCAGGTTTGAATGGCCTCTTAAGAGTGAAGGAGAATGGGCCACTGGGAGGATCTCGCAAGTACTTCCAAATGGTTGTCTCATTGTAGGATTCCCAGGAAGGTTTGTGTTTGGACAGGAATCGAACAACTCCCTGGCAGATCCTGCAGAAGTGGAACTGGTGTCTTTTGAAACTTGTCCGGGCATGGTGGAGAAGTATCAACATATTGAAGATTACCACTGGTCTGTGAGGCCACTTGCGATTGCGCTGAGTTTATTCACAGCCATGAAGTTTGGCTTGTTTGTTGGACGAAGTGTCAGTTCAAAACTGAAAAAGCGTAGGAGTTCCACCAGAGGCGACAGCCAGGATGGCCCTGCCGGCAGCAATGCAGCTTGGCTTCCATCACCGGTTGCAAACATCATTTTCAGAGAAGGAAACCCTCCCACTGCTGCTGCTAGGTAAATTCAATTTGGGTAAGTTTGATAAATTTGATGTGAAGTACACTATGATCTCTGGGTGTTTTCACATTCATAATTGGGATGATATCATAAGGTCACATGGATGAAGTTATTCGCTGCTGTTAAAGCAGAAAAAACATATTTTGCCATTGATCATGAGACAACGATGTACATATGTATATAAAAGATTTTAAATATCAATAATATTAGATATCCTAAAAGTTATCTAGAATTTCTTATCTTAAGTGATGTGTCATCTTATGTGATGATGAGATGTAAATAAATAGATGATTTAGTGGATGACGTGGCAATGCCAAATAGGATGACACGTCATTTGGGATATGCAATATACAGTGGTGATAATTTTTATTAAATTAATTGAAAGAGTTGTTGGTTTTGTCTCTCTTAACACTCAAAAGTCTCTTTCTTTACCCCACAAAAGAAAAAAGAAATAACCTGTTAAATCCACCCTTTCTTCCCTCCTTTTCTCTCTAAATTTGCTGCTCTTTCCCTCCCATTCCCTCTTTCACAATCACCAAACCCCTCCGCTTCCGCCCCTTCGTTGTGCCACACAACCTTTCAACTATGAATCCAAACTCTGCTACAAACACCTTAAATCCACTTCTCTCAAAATTGTCATTAGTGGCTCTGGCAACTGCGAACAGTTTCTCTCCAAAACCTTTTCCTGCCAAAATCTAGGTCTCTTTGTTCACTCTCGCTGAGACTGTAGTCCCCTGTGGTGCTCAACAATTTAACGCTTGATTCTACTCCCACATTCATGACCTTTGTTATACTCCCACATTCATGACCTTTGTGAACTTCACCCTGATGTGGTTCTCATTTCAACCTCCATTCTTTTCTTTCCACCGAAAGTGTGCCTAAATCTATCCCATTTCAGTGGTTGAAAAGTACACTTTTCGTTGAAGTTCTTTCTGTTAAAGAGTTCCATGTGAATCTTTTCTTGAAGTATATCTGTCGGAAGAGTTGGGTCCAAGATTTCAGTGGGTATGGCCTCGAGTCTTAGAAGAACTTGTTCGGGCGGTTGCTTCAGGTTTATGCAAAGCAGTTGTTTGTTAATACTAAGGTAGAGGATAGATATTTGAGAAATTTGATGAAGCAGATACTGTAAGAAATGTTCTGCAGAGCAGTCATTTTATAAGCTTCATTGATTTTAGGTAGTACTGTAAACCACTGCTCATGTTTGAGGACTTGAAGACCTTCTTCATCCATCAATATAATGGTGTATGTATCCTGGATCCATCTGAATGGGGTTTTTACGCCAAGAACAAGATCAGGTCTTTGGCAACGTGAGTAGTATTTAAACCTTGCTTGGTACTGTGCACGTTCACTATAACTGTTTCAGGAAGCAATTTTTCTTCTATGTTTAATGACTTTGCCATGGCTTTCGAAGTGAGCTCTGCCACCTTTTCATCTTAATATAGTATTCTTCTGATATATCTCTGTAAATTTGTAATTTGTAATGGTGTTCATACACGACAAAAATAGCAAAACAATCAAATTAACATCAGATATGTAATCTATCGAAGAAACAAATAAAGAATTTGAATGAGCAAAATTTTTAAAAAGTTGATTTATAGATTTATACAATTACTTTTCTATAATATAATTTCTCATTGTACAAACTAGTAAAAGGTTAAGATTCTCAAAGCTATGTACAAAATCTATTTAGAAGTAGGGAAAATATTTTCCTTACCCATTCTTAATTTTATGAGGCTTTTTTTCCCATATTCCTTTTCTTGATAAACTCAAATTTTGTGCCATGGAAGTGGAAGTCGCTCCGATTGAAGAACTCCACAGCCCACCAAAAGCTCTCAAACCTTCCCTCACCTTGTCACAAAAAAAAACCCTTCTCCAAGAAGACGTTTTCTTCGATGAAAAACGCTCAAAACTCTCTTCAAACTTAGCTGTTCTTCGTCTCCATTTCTACAACTTAATTTCCCACTGTGCCCTCTACAGTCTCCCTCAAAGCCAAACCCATCCTTTCGAATGGCATTAGCCGCATCTAGGAGCTTGAAGAGCCCCTGCCTGTGGGTTGCAGCCACTGAATGTGTATCAAAACCAAGTCTTTTATCCAAAATTGATTCAAAGATCAAGGCTTTGGTTAAAAATGAATTTTGGGGTTGGTGAAGATAGTGAGTTTGTTTGTTTGGGTGGGTGGGTTTAAAAATGTGAGGGTTGTTTATGTGTGGAAAAGGTTGAAGTTGGAGTTGGACAGAGCTGGGCCCAAATGCCCAGCTCTAAAACCCGGTCCTAGGACCGGTCTTTGAGAGGACCAGACCTAGGAGGCCTGGTCCCAAAACGGGACCAGGCCTAAGGAGGAGGGCTCGGGCCCTCCACTGGGCCCTCCTCCGGTCCCAGGCCCGGGCCCAAAAAAATTTGTATTTTTTCAATTTAGTCCCTTGTCAAATTACATAAAACCCCCTATTAATATAAATAGATATAAATTACGAGGGCTAAAAAAAATTTTACAAAATTTATAAAAAAAAAATCTTCCAGGTTTAAAAAATTTATAAATTTTACCCCTAAAAATACTAAAAACCCCCTATAAAATTTCGTTTTGCCCCAAAATATAAATAAATTGAGGGGGGAAAATGAAATTGTCCAAGGCCCATGGGACCAGTCTCATGGGCCTGGGACCGGTCCTAAGCCCATGAGTGACTGGTCCCATTTGGGACCAGTCCCAAACGGGCCCAGGCCTGGACCCGCAAGGGACCGATCCCTTGCCCAGCTCTAGAGTTGGATGAGACTAGTTATGGTATGTTATGAGATACTTGGCCGATCTCAGAAGGGACTGGACAAGATGTATGCGTAACATGTAAGGTCACTAAAACAATGTAATAAAATAAAGAATATAAGAGATTTTATAGTAATTCGGCGGTTACGAGAACTAAACCTACATCTATTGTCATATTATTATTGGGGAGTGTTTCAAGGTTGAATGAAATTACAAATGGGAAGCCTGTGAGTATGAACCAACGAGGTTCAGTCCTCGCGACCTATCTACTCTTAGCTCTCTCTAAAAGTCAAGTGCATTTTCCTCTTGAGCTTTACTAATGCCGAGGGCATTTATGACTCTTCTTGTCAAAAAATTTGGAAGATGTTTGAAATCTTTGTTTTGTAGCGAGAAAACATTGAAGAATAAAACATGCTATTGCATTGTCAACTGTTATCATTGTGGATTTTACTCAGTTTGATCCAAAATTGTGAGCTGCATATAGATTGTCAAAGGATAAGCTTTCTCCGTCAGAAGTATGCAGAAGAAATGGTTGATTTAGAGGAACTCAGAGGAAGTTATCCTTGTGATATTGGACATCTATCACTAATCGTAAAAAGAGTCCCTGTCAGATTACATGAGTTTGTTGGATATTGTTTTTTGCGTTTGTCGTCCTACTAATGAACCAGATGTTGCAGCAGCCAAAGACCAGACGCAAGAGGCTTAAGCTGTCGGGCTGATCTGTCTAACCGCGAGGCTCTGACGGCGGCACTTATGGCCGGCGATTGAAGCTCTTGCGTAGGTTAGCCATGGTGGATGGCGCTCGAGAGGAAGGAGGTAAATGAAAAGGAGAGAAAGTGAGGAGGGATGAAAAACTTATTTTTGATTAACGGAATTTTTGCTAATGACAGAGACGTATGTAATAGTTTTCAATTTTCAGTGTTACTTTTCCAATCTCTTAAGGGGCCGGATGATAGTAAGCCTATAATTTTACAATTCTATTTTGGTAATAATTTTTCCCACTCAAGATTGCCTTAATCAACTTTTTCACCTTTCAAATATCACTTTTTCACTCAAAGTTTATATTTCAAAATATCACTTTTTCACTCAAAGTTTATATTCTATTAATATCCAAACCGATTTTAACAGTAAAATTCCTTTGACCAACCATTTGAATCTTCAATCTTTTCTCTAAAAACCTCTTTATTCTGATACTTAATTTTTCATCGATTTCCAGTACCACAAAGTTAGAGTTTCTTATTTAGTTGATTTTCAATTGATTTCGATGGAAAATATTTAATCAATTATCACCGTTTGATTCATCGGTCTTACTTTATTAAACGTCTCTTATCTAGTTTCTAGTAATCGTCGAATGCTGATTGAGAAAGTTAAAATATATTAGATATTATGAAATATAAATTTGAGTAGAAAAATGTCATTAAGGCAAACCTTGCGTGGGAACAAGTCGTTTACTCTTCTTTTTTCTAAAGGAAAAATATAATAGAAAAAAAAAAAAAAAAAAAAAAAAGTGACCCGTAAATGTGGCAATTATTTTCCCCCTTAATAGATGACCGAACTGAGCGAGATATTTAATGAATAAATTTCTTTAAAAAAGTTAACTTCCTTCTACACTTCAGTTTCAATAAAACTGAGAAACGGAGACAAAATTCCAAGAAAGAGAGAAGAACGAAATCAATGAACGCAACCGTGCATCAATCTCTCTTGTAAGTGTTTTTTTCTTTCTTTCTTTCTTTCTTTGTTATAATAATTAACATGTATGCATGCAAAATGTTCATCTGATGTGTTTGTTTCTCGAGAAAAAACAAGAAAATTACAACTGAACCCATTTTTTTTTTCTGAAGAACCTAAGTTCTTTTCTTTTGCGTAAGCTCTGAATTTTGCTTTGTTTGGTTTTCAATATGTGAAAGTTTTAATCTTTTTTCTTGTTTGACGACCATGAATGTGAAAATGATAGGTTGTACTATATTTGGTGGTCAAGAAAATTACAGTGAGAAAGAAGAGAAAAAGAGTCCTTGGGAATTTATAGAAACGCAACTTTAAGTGCTTAACTTTGTGAAACAGTGGTAAGGTCCTGACGTGCAATACTATATTTAACTCTGTCTGATTTCTGGGAAAATAAGAAAGATAATGTCTAAATTGAATCAATTATATTATGTTAAATGAACATTAATATCAGAGGTTTTAGTTTATTGGGAATCTCAAGAATGACTTTAAGAATACAGTATGTACTAACATTCTAAAATACCTGAAATGCCTGAGTTTTCTTTTCTTTTACTATTGACCTGATATTTATGAACTTTGCTTTAAGGTAAAGAAAGGAAAGAATGGAAATTGATAACCACAATTTTAACCTTGGTTTTTGTTTGGTTGCTTTCTTCATTGTTTAATGAGATATAAGTGAAATGGAATGTTGCAATGTGTAGTTTTAGACTTATAGTTTTACTTGTGGTAAATGGTTTAAAACTACAACTTTCTATATTCTTTTCCTAAATAAAAGAAAACTTTTTCCAGGAATTATGTTGGAGAGAGTGACTCGGAGGAGCGCGAAAAAGAAGAAGGAATGGTGAGGAAAGGCATAAAAGGAGAAGGTGGTGGTGAGATCAACGAGGTGCTTGAGAGAGTTCAGTGTATGACGCTTCGAAAGGGTGCAACAATCAAAAGAGGTAAAAGACCAGAATTTTCTTCTCTTTATACAAGAGAGTAAAATGTTTATATTACTGAGTTAAAAACTCAAGTATTTGCCTTGAAAAATTAAAAATTCAAGTTAAAAGAGAGTAAAAGTTATATGGAGCAAGTCTTCAACAACATTGGAAAAAACTCGCTATTTTATTGGTAGGCATTATTATTCTCTTTGAGTAAAATAGTAGTTTGTAGAAAACCCTGAAAGTAGTATCTTTGAATTATTATGGAATGGGTTATCTGACATATTCTGATGTTGATTATAATCTTTTTAAAGTTTTTGTATGAAGTAAAATAAGGTCTGTCTTTGTAGTGAAGTTGATATCAGTATATTGCTTTCAATAATCAAGCTAGGTTGTACAAAGTTCATCAAAATCCTCTTGCAAGTTGCTTGATAGTTGTGCATTGGTAGATCTTGAAGAATTTTCTTTCTTGCAAAGAATCAGACTGCGTTTTTGAGGTCTGTTCCATGGCAACCTCTTTGTAAATTACACCAGACTGTTTTTTGAGGTCTGTACCAATGTGCCTTTCATCAAATAAGAATGAATCTAAAACTGCTTTAATATTTTATGGTAGAATTACTTCATTATAAATGTATATGTTGCATTGCTGGAGTTGTTTTTTACTTTTTTTGTTATATGTTGGGTGCATATTCTTTGAGCCGTATTTCAATCTGGTAGTTAACGTCCTTTCAGGTGAAGAGATTTCCAGTGAAAAATATGATCTGTGGAGGCAAGAGCAGAAGACAAGAGCAGCTAGGCTAGAGAAACAGCTGAAATCAAGGTGGGAACTTCAGGAGCTAATTGAAGAACAATTGAACAGGTTCCGTTCCCACTACAACCATGCCATGGTCCCAATCCAACTCAAGGATGTAGCTGAGCTGCTCATGCCTAGATGGACTCCACCTCATGAGTTGGCTGCGCTGTCCTGGCTAGGCGATTGGAGGCCATCTGCCATTCTTGACCTTATCTGCGGCTTAGTCTGTCCCTCAACCTCATTATCGTCATCATCTTCTTCCCTATCAAACTCAGGTGGGATTGAACGGCTCTTATCACAGGTCATACATGAGATACGTATTGAGGAGTCAATAATTGACGAGGAAATGTCTGAGATTCAAGCCACGTGTATCCTCCACCTTCCTTTTGCTTCATTGAACAAAAGGCAATCAGGTGGCTCCACCTTGGGTTTCATTCAGGAAGAATTCAAGAAGATTGAGCGGGTTATCACTAAGGCACAACAACTCAGGTTCAGTTTTCATAGTAATTAAGTATGATAACCTTTAACAGTTGTTCTTACCACCTAAAATGTGACATTTATTGACCTCTAAATATATTTTAGCATAATTGAATTGTGTACTGGTCACATCATATACTTCGTTTCTTGACAGTCCAAGCCCCCGATTTATATACATAAATACACTCATTAACAGAAATATTAACTGTAATAATGACTGAAAAGTTCATTTTATTGACTGCTATGTGAAAAATTGTATGACAGGTACAAGACATTGGAGTTGGCCGTGAAGAAGGTCTTGAGCCAAACTGATGCAGCGCAGTTCTTAGTAGCTTTTGCTGAAATTCAAGATGTTATCCACCAAGTTGCTGAGCAGCTGAAATTGCGAAAGGTTCTGGTAACTCTGCCCACCAAAGCCTCGAGACCTAAGCTAACAGCGGCAAATCTCAGGATCAATCTTAACAAACCAGAATCAGTCAATAGAAAATACACACAGGATTTTACTCTGTTGAGTAGTTGTCCAGACTTGTAAGTGTTCATCATACGCTCATTGACATTTTACTCTGTTGTTACGGTAGTCATATACTATTGTGTAATTTCATCTCTGTGTCATGGGTTGTGGAATTGTACAAATATGTTTACGCATAGGATTCTGGGAAATACCACGTTGACCAATATGTGAAAGAAAGTCGATTATACGATTACCTTGTTTTTGAAGAATGTTTTTACGCATTTTCATTTGTAGTTTTTACGAAGCATTTAGTCAAATTTTAGATAAAGAACTGGTTTGGCCTGATAATGTTTGAAATTTTCTTGTAATTTTTATGGTTCACAATCTGATTAAGATGAAAGCACTACAACAGATGAAATTAAATAAAATAGTAAAGATTCCAAAGACTGGGAAAAGTAATAACCTTTACTGATGAAATCAAATTTGGCCTTTAAAGTTTAGTGCCGGAGATTAGATATTGGAGAAAACCAAACAGAAATGCTTGAAGCTGATATTTTCAGTTTCATACTTTCATCCTTCTGTTTAATTTCCTCCAATTCTCGCCTACGACAATCACTATATATATATATATATTCCTTGTGGCATCGTAGATCGTCTTAAGTGAATACTGAAGATGAGATATTGGAGGAAACCAAACAGAAAGCATCAAACAATGTCAATCTATTTAGTTTCCTGCAATTCTCACCTTCAATCATTCACACCCATTTCTGAAGTTTCAGAAATTATGTAATTGTGAAAGTGGAGGCTGGACATGAGATACTAGAGGAAGCTAAACAGTAACAACAGAATCAAGCTAATCTGTTTAGTTCCCTCTAATCCTCACATACAGCTTCGACAATCTGTCTGTTTTTTCTCATCCCCATATATCCTTTTAAGAGTTTAGTAAATTTTACATTCTTGTTGAGAAACCCTTCAAGCCATAACCAGTATTTATAGATCTTGTAAAGAGCCTGTAACACGCAGTTCACGATGTATAAAATGTCAGAATCTTCAGAAACAGCAAAAATTCCATGAAAAAAAACCAGTCAAATTTGCATGCTTTAAGACTGTTCTGAAGTACTCCTGTCTCTCTGCTACAAATTTGGGAACCAACCAAAACTAAATTTTGAAAATATTTCAGGTTGTTAAAACATAAAATCATTTAACTACCTTTGACCGACCGAGTGGTTCAATAGGAACTCTTAGGTGTATTACTCAAGAGGTATGAGTTCGAGTCTCTCCTCGGTTTCTAATTTTTAAATTGAAAAACACTTTAAATAACAAAAAAGAATATGAAAGATTGGATTAAAAGTTGAAGAGGTGACAAAAGCGTAACAAAGGTCAAAATAGTTTGAAATTTGGTTACAAAAGGTAATAAGATTTGCTTGGAGAAGAAGCATTAATCAAATGAAATCTCAATTATAACAGGTGGTTTAAAACTCAAAATCTCATAATGATTTTCATGCCACGATTGTGGAAAAACATGAACCACTGAATCTTCTATGGGACCAAAACATCATTCAGAGGATTTCTTTTTTTTCCTTCTTAATCATACTTATCAATAATAATTTTGCTTTTAAACATCTTCAAGAAAATTATTCTCTAATTTCTGAAATCAAACCCCTATGATATTCAAAAGATCTCTAGAATATAGACACTATCAAATTACATAATTTAGTTATTTGATGACATTAAATTTGCAGGATAGCAAAGAAGAAAACATTGAAAATAGCCAAATGGAATCACAACAGGGTGGTTTGAAAGTAAAAGAGTAAAAAAAGGTTTCATAAGCTTCTAAATTCAAGTTCCCCTCCGGCATTAATAAGGGTGGCAATTAGGGCTCTTACTCAGTCGATAGTTCTAAGGTCTCGAAAGATTAGTTAAGATACGCACAAACTAGCTCGGACACTCCCAGTGATTAAAAAAAAAAAACATTGAAAACGACTAAATGCAATCACTTTTGAAGAATAACAAATTTTTTGGATTGTATCATGATTTGATCAAAATTTCCCACATGGTGAGCGAGATTTGATGTTGCCATGGACCAAATGCAACATTCACATTGACATGATGGCAATTTTTTCTTCTTTTGCTGCTAACAAATTCACGTGCAAATTATATCCCATATTTGCCTAACAGTGTTAAAAATTGCCTTAAAATTTCATGGAACAAAATCTTATTCAATCTTGTACTACTTATTTTTCATGTCTCCTTTGTCTTGTGACAAAAGGGTTCTATTTAATTATGAATTCTAGTAGCATGAACCATGCTTTGTTAAGACTTTTTTTTTTTTTTTTTTTTAATTCCTTTATAAATCTATTTATTTGTTTTTCTTATATAGATATATGTGTCATAAATATGATCATTGGATTATAGTTATTTTGTTTTTTCTTAATGACAGGATGTGTCCGAGTTAACTTATGCGCACCTCAATTATTCTCTTAGGACTCTGAAATTATCGATCGGATAAGAGCTCTAGTGGCTACTAAAGGTGTTCAAAAGAACCGATTGGAACCGGAATCGACAGGTACTTAGGATTTGGTTCCGGTTTCTACTTGGAACTGGCCGTCAACGGGTAGGTTCCAGTTCCAAATTTTTGGAATCGTTACTATGTGGTTCTGGTTCCTATAGTTAGGAACCGGAACCGGGAACCCAGACTAATATAAAATAAAATTAAAAAGTAGGGGGGTTAATAAAAACTTTTGTAGAAAAAGTTATGTAAATAAATTTATATTTATATTTCATAACATTTAAAGTAAGTTGGTTTGATTTTTGAGAATCTACCTTTACAAAGTAATGGAGTTTGTAATTTTGAATTTTATTTTTGTTAACAAGTGTCAGGTGGGGGGGCATTTGTAAGTTTTAAGGGTTTTTTTTGCCATTTTAAAAACTATTGGGGGGTAATAAATTTTACAGGGTACCCAAAACTGGAACCCTTATTACAGGTTCTGGTTCTGGGTACCTAGGAACCGGAACAGTCGGTTTCAGTTTTGGTTCTAGTTCTTTCAAAAAGCGCAAGGTACCCGGAACCGAACACCCCTAGTGGCTATCGCTATTAACAACCGAGGAGAGACACTAACCCAGGATCTCTTAAGTAATATACCCAAGAGTCTTTATCAAACTACTCGATCACCCAGAGGTATGTAGTTTGGATTATAGTTGTTGATTAGCCTCACTCTAAAATGTTGTTACATGATAATATGCTGATAAAATAGTTAATATATTAACCGGTAAGGTTTGATTAAATACCAAAAAATTCCTCTAAGGTTTTTGAAATAATAAATATTCTTATATTGTTTAAATTTTAGGTGTTAAAGATAAAATGTATGAAGGTAACTTGGAAAATAATGATTAACTTGTAATATTATAAATTCTAATATATTACTATCGATTCATTAATAATAAGGGAATTTTTGTCATTTAGAAACTTTAGAGGGATTTGATAAGTTCATTATTATATTTAGAACAATAATTTATTTATTGGTAAAATACAAATAAATCCGGGAATTGTTCATTTTTATTTATTGGTAAAATACGAAGAAAAAGAAAATATCATTGGTTCATTATACTTTAGCTATACATCAAAAAGTAAATATAATTTTAAAATGACATTAATTTCCTTTAAATAACAAAAAAAGTAATTGAATTAGCAGGGTGAGACCTTCATTTTACTTATTTAATGATTTAATTACAAAATACAATAAAACTTTGATGATATTTTTAAAACCATAGGGGGTGTATCATACTTCTTTAAAACCTTAGGACGATAAGGTAATTTTTCCACTAATAAAAGTGAGAAGAGACAAATGAGGAATAATTAAGAAATTAATGATTTAATTAGTAGAAATAATGGTAATTATGATTTATAACATGTTGTGATTATTGAACTAGTAGAGTAACAGGAGAATGTAATGGCATCTATAAATGAGCAGGACTACACTTATTGATTTTGTAGATCGACTTCCCATCCTGACTGATGTGGAGTGTGACGTGGTCGACATGGGGATTCCCCATGTCGCATTCTATGTCAGTCAAGGTTAGGGGTGAAATCGAATTGAGTATCTGGCTACTCAAACTTGACTCGATTTCTACAACACCGAATTCGAATTCAAGCCTGAGCAATTGAGTTTGAACTTGAACTCGATACCTAAAATTAGAATTTGAGTTAAAATTCGAGCTCGTATAATCGAGCTTAATCGAACTTAATTGAGCTTTTCGAATCGAGTTGTATCGTGATCGAACTCGACTCAAATTAAGTATTCTAGGGTGCGTTTGGTTCATTATTTTGGATAGGATTTTAGGAATAATACTGGGTAGTTGAATAGGGGAGTATTACGAGGTAAATTTTGTAAAAAGCCCCTAGGTTTGCTAATTTAATTAAATACCCCAATATATAAAATGATAAAAGCACCCCCACCACCCGCAGTGCTAGATTCCGACTACCACCGCCGGAATCTGGTTGAAAAATTGCGTTACGACATAGACTGGTCGGATTTGTGTTGTAACGCGTCGATCTGGCCTTTTTCGGCCACATCCACCACGACTCTGGTCAGAAAAGACCAGATCTATGGCCAAATGTGGCCATTGATGGCCGCAAAGGTCCATCTTTGGCCGTCAGAGACGACCAAAGATATGGCCGTCGTTTTCGGTCAACGATGGCCAAGATTTGGCCAGATCGGTGAATAACCGGCCAGTTTCGGTCGTGGTGTAAGTCTTAGGGACAGATTCCAACTATCATCGATTGTGGTTGCCGAAATCTGGCAAGTATGGGTGGGTGAGGGTGTTTTTGCTAATTTTTAAACTTTTTTTGGGGGGTATTTAGTGAAATTAATAAACTTAAGAGGGTCTAAAAATAATTAAAAAATACACTAATATTTCTCAAATAATGTGCCAAATAATATTTGAGAAATAAGATTGAAAATATGGGTAAAAATATTGAACCAAACGCATCCCTAGCTATTCAAACTCGAGCTCGACTCGACTATTGTCGAGCTGAGCCTAAGCCAAAATCGAGCTAAGCTCGAGCCGCTCGGGAGTGGGTCAGCTTAATTTTTACCCCTAGTTAGGATGGGTAGTTAGATTTGCATAATTGGTAAGTGTAGTATTTTCCTTTATAAATAATTAAATATAAGCTTTGTTGTCATCCAATCATTGTGGAACCCTCAAAACATAAAAGTTAAACAAGTAGAAGAGGATTAGCCAAAAGGTTGTAAAGTACTAAAAGCGTAACAAATTTCTCATTGACCTAAAGGGCCCCTAAATCTTTCATGATCTTTATCAAAATGAAATCAACGGTCATGATTTTGGGGTTAAATACTTCAACAAATCTTCACCCTCCATCAAAATAATAATTGAAAGGCTGGAGATGTTAGGGGTGGGTGGGGGCCTGTTCTCATTAACTAATACTACTCAAGCGTGCACATGAACAGTCCTCACGTTACTTACCTTTCATGGGCCCTCCCAAATATAGGCCGCACGAGCCTCCGCGATTTGTTCCTCTGCTTTGCACATTTTTTTAAACGTACAACCGGTTTTTATCCTTTCATTGTAAATTTAATACTGCCACTTTTTCTTTTTCTTTTTCATTTAATTTCTTCCTATAATTTTCATATTTTAATAAATTTTTTTTTATTAATTTTCATATTAATTCTCTATTTGGTATTAATCAATTCTAATATAAGAAAAAAATAACTCGATTTGGTATGAAAATTACAAAAAATAAGTGAAAATATCATATGAATATAGAGTTTTTTTTTGTCATTCGCAACGATGTGTATTATTGCATGTGATTTTGCCATTAAGCTCGAAGAAGTCAGAAGCCTGCAAGGATATAGTTTGACCCAGAATTAGTTCAACTCAACATTGGTCTAACCTAGTATAAGCTCGTCAAGAGGGATAGCTCGACTCAACACAAGTTAGTTACGACTAGCCCTAACAGTTGTTCGACAAACCAGGGGTAAGCTCAAATTCCAGATATTTTGGAAGGGATAAGATTAACATTGGTGGCAGTGCGATCTTAGCGGCCAATCACGAAAATATTGGAGTTACAATTTGAATTTGATTGCAATCTCGATATTCTCTCTCTTTCCTTCATCTCAAACTTGTATAAATACCCCTTCCAATTATGAGAAAGCGGTTAGCAATTTTTACTTTTCAGTTTACATACATTGTAAGCTCTCACAGCAATAAAATAACAGTGGACGTAAACCCAAGTTTCAACTGACCGAACCACTTAAAAACCTTTTTACATTATTTTTAATTCAATTTCTAATTCTCATTAAATCACGCATATATTGGTTCTGATTCCACTAAGGTCAATCGAATCTCTTTCGTTGGTGTGAATTTTTGCATCAACATGTATACTTTACCAAAATAATTTTTGTCGTTCTGAAAAAATCTTAATTTAAAAAAAAAAACTATATTATTTTGTAAAAATTACAATTAATAATAAAATTCCAGTTGAATTGAACATAGTTTTCCAATCACCATTGAGTGGCCAAGTGGTCAACTAGGACTCTTAGGTGTATTACTTAAGAGATCTTGAGTTCGATTCATCTTAATCCAGAATAGAGATAGCCATTGGAGCTTTTACTCGATCCTGATCAGTAGTTCTAAGGTCCCAAGATTGGTTCCAAGGTCACAGAAGAGCAGTTGAGCTGCGCATAAATTAGTCTGGACACTTGATCATATAAAAAAAAAAAAAAAAAAAAATGTTTTCCCTCCAAAATGGAAGATGTCAACTACATTGTTATTTATTTTGATAAGGATTAAAGTAACGCAAGAGGATGAAACTTTCTTAAAAGGGAAAATGTCAGTTCTTATATATCATTAATGGAAAATGTCAGTTCTTATATATCATTAAAGTATCACTTTCTTAATACCAGAAAATATGACAGTAACATCCAATGCTCATCAGTCAATATTCTAAATCATCATAATATCAATCACACTTTAAATTACTTTTGTCAAAATAAACAGTATTTTTTTTTTTTTTTAATGACCGGGTCGGTTAGGTTATATATAATTCAATTAATCTCTTAAGATCCTGAAATTACTAATTGGGTGAGAACTCAAATGGTTATCCTTATTATCAACCAAGGAAAGACTCGAACTTAGAACTTTTTGAATAATACATCTAAGAGTCTCTGTCGAACCATTCGGTCACCTAGAGGTAATTTAATAAAGGACAATATTACACTTACAACCTAATCTTACAAACTTTCTCTTACAACTTTGACGTGGTAGCTCACAATTGGTCAGTTCACAATGGGTACCGGTGTGTCAAGGCCAACTTACATACACCTCAACAATCCCTTGACCCTGAATAAAGGGTCTAAAACAAGACAAGCCTTGCGATCCGTGTCCAACAATATTGACAATCGTTCTTGTGATTCGAACTTGAGACCACAAGGGAGCAAACCTCTTAGCCCAAGCTTTTATCATTCATCTAACCCATTGTTGGTTTTTTTAGTATATATATTACCAAAACATTCCACAACAAAATTACAATGCTAAAAATATTTTATTTGATCAATGGTTTTGCATCATCCTAAAATGATATAATTTCTTGTAATATATTATAATTAATTTTGAAACACATTTATTCAAAAATAATTATAAAAAAACATATAAAAAGTATTAATTAAATAATATAAAGAGGATAACTTGGTACATGATCTCAATCATTAACATAATCTTTTGTACAAATAAAAAATTATAATAACTTTAAATCTTATTTAAAAAACCCATTAATCAAATAAAAAGAAACTATTAATTTACATATCATCAACTATTTAATCAACTGAAACTATGGCTTTTCTTTTTCTTTTCAATACCTTTTCTCAATTGTTTATATAATTAAATAATAAAATAAACTATATATAAAAATAACTATTTTTTGCCTTTTTTTTTTTTTTTTACTTATTTTTAAAACAAATTCCCTTATTTTAATATTAAAAAGTCTATAAATAAATGTAGTGGTTCTAGTGGAGCTTCAAGCCAACAAAGAAAACACAGTGCATAGTGAATGTTTTCTTCATTCAGTGTTAACGATGATGTTCAATTTGAGTTTATGTGTCTTCCTCTTTCCTTGTGTGAAGAAGAAGCCCTCAAAACAGCTTCGTTTTCCAGGGAGAAAAAGCTCAAAAACCCCTGAAAGTAAAGAGATGTTTGCAGGTGAAAATGGGTTGGAAGGAGACCCACGATTGAAGGCCATTAAAGAAGCCATTAGAGTCGTTCCTCACTTCCCAAAACCAGGTCCATGAATACCATTTTCTTTCTTTGTTCGTTTTGAAACTTGCATGTTTCTGTTAATATGAGTTGAAAGTTTTTGTTTTTGTGTTTTTGGAAGCTAAAGTTTTTTTTTTTGGTGGGTTTGTTTTTGGTAGGAATTATGTTTCAAGATATAACTACACTGTTACTTGATCACAAGGCGTTTAAGCACACTGTGGATATTTTTGTTGATCGTTATAGAAATATGAGGATCGATGTGGTAGCTGGTACTCTCTCTTTCTTTGTGTCTCTCTCGTTTTTGTGTGTATAAGACTCAGAGTTTCAAGTACACAGGCACAGTTTTATTTATTGTGGTGATTGGTGATTAGTGTTTGCTTTTGGTTGGCACTTTCTGCGGATCTAATTTAAGGTGGAGAAATTAATATATGTCATGTTTGTGGTTGTTTCCTGTTTTTATCATTGTAAAGTGGAAATTTTTGTAACTTAGTGGATGTGATAGGATTTTTCTTTTAAGAAAGATTTATTTTTTCCTGTTGCAGTTGGGTTTGAAGGAATAACATCTATTGAACTATCTTATTTTATTGTATTTGAATGGATTCTTCCTTAGAAAGTGATATTTTTTAGTCTTTTTATCTAGTACATTGTCTGATTGTTTTTTTTTTTTTTTTTTTTAAAATTTCATTGAACTGTTAACTGGGTTAAAATGCAGAAGTTAAAAGTGATTTGGGTTCAATTGAAGTGGCATTAGAACCTAATTGGGTTGATCTTAGAGCTTTGGCTCCGTCAGGGGCTGTATTTTCAATCAATAATTTGTGTCCTCTAATCGATTCATCTTCATTGAATTCAAAAAAAATTTCCTTAGTAGTAATGTTCAAAATTTGGTGAAACTTACAAAAGTCATGTTGAACTATCAACAAAGTAGAAAGTTGGCTTTGCTGAAAATGTGGCTTCATAAATTGCTAATTCATGAATTGTGGTTCTTTTGTGGAACTGTCTTTGAGTTTGATTTGCTTGAGTTACCAGTTTGAGTTATGCATATTGCTGACAAAAATTTCAATTTGTTGTTGTTGCCTCTCAACATGGAGAAAATTAATTTGCTTTCTTTGATCTATTTGGCATTATTTGTTGTGGCTGCTCACAAAATTCTAAGTTACATTCCAGGATGCGAGGCGAGAGGATTTGTGTTTGGCCCTCCAATTGCCTTGGCTATCGGTGCCAAGTTTGTTCCTCTACGTAAACCTAGAAAGTTACCAGGTATGTTGTTCTATATGGCTGTGGTACTAGTTGAGTGTAACATTTTTCTAGTCTGTGTTGATTTATTGGTTACCTTAATTTAGCAACTGTTACTTAATGGCATTATTCGCTTTACATTACTGATGAGGATAAACTTTATAATTGCATTGCTATTATTAGTTGTGGAAAAGGATTATAAGAGATGAAATATTATTTTGTTTCGAAGTGAGATTCAAACCTTCTACATGAATTGAGTGAAATATTTCTACAGGAGAAGTCATCTCCGAAGCATACACACTGGAATATGGAACAGATTGTTTAGAGATACATGTTGGGGCTGTTCAAACTGGAGAACGGGCTATAGTCATTGATGATTTGGTGGCTACAGGTGGTACACTCTGTGCAGCAATAAGACTATTAGGTGAGGTCTAAAGGTCCATATAGATTTTCTTTTTATGCTTTTTTATAATGCTTTCTTTGGCCTCATAACTGAATTTTTCGCAAATTGCAATTGCTCTTAATTAGAACGTGTTGGAGCTGAAGTAGTTGAATGTGCATGCGTTATTGGGTTGCCAGAGATTCAGGTAATGATTAGTTATTTTTAATATTTATGTCTTCTCGTCAATTACATCTCAAAACTTAGTTGAATTCCCTTTAAAAAAAAATGGCTGCTTCTGTTTCTACATCATGTGTTTTGGTACCTTTCATTATACTATCAAATTATTTTTGTTGCTTGGACATATGTCCATAACTTGGCGACTAATTGTTGCATAGCAGACTGAGCTCCTTGCATGTATTTGTTTATCGATAATGTTAATTCCCGGTATTCTTGGACCAAGTTAAGCTGGTAGATTTGGTCTTGGTTTAATCTTCAAGTTAAGATGGTGTAAAGTTTACTCGAAAGTTGAAGAAATTTAAAATTTTTACATTATCTTATTTTGATTGTTCACATTATGGTTAACAATTGCAGTACTGCTTTTCTGCTTACAGTCATGACAGACCAACTAGAGTCTTGAACCCTGGTCATGATAAACAAACTAAATTAACTATTGTATTGAAATTTGGAATGCGCATTTGTCCAAAGTTTCACATCATGGAAAAACGAAGTTGTTTTGTCAAAGTTAGTGAGTGTTTATTTTCTTTCATGTTACTTCCCAGACTCGATGCATGATCAGGTTTTGCCTAGCCATGAAGTATCTGTGCATATTTGAGGATTTGTTCACTTAGTATGTGCGGCTAATTATATGATATATTATGCTTTATATTTCTTTTTGTATACATATTTTGCAATGTCGTTGTTCATCAAAGTATTGAAGCACTATAAGGCTGTGCTGTACTATTTGCCTAGACTTATTTTTGGTTTTGATTTCATTAATGGTCTTCCTTAACAGTGTCTGACTATGTAGCTTACTCAAATGCTTGCACTTTTGCAGGGACAAAACAGGCTAAATGGAACGCCGTTGTACATGCTTATTGAGCCACGCCAGTAAACAAAAACTCTTAGACGAAGGAACAGTGTACACGAGACTTTTGTATTCGTGCTGTAAAAAATCGATGTATTAGAGAAAGTCTTTATTGATTTTTTTCTGCGTAAGCCATCAGTAGATATGAAATTTTGTTGTATATCTGGATATCCTCAGTTCATATATAATATTGCTTACAATTCTTGAAATGGTCCAACGCATTCTTGGTTCTCTTCTAAAATTAGCTTCGAAAGGAGAAATAGTTGGATTAAAAGGTCTGATGCTGATGAGCAATCACTAAAAAAGTAAGTTAATCCCCTGTTGAATTGATTGAACAAAATGTGGAAGAAGATTGCAGATGTAACATGAATGCATAAAAAGAGAGAATCTTCTGCAGTTCTTAAATTGATGAATGCAGGCGTGTTCCAGACAAATGCAATTTCATGCTACATTATATAAAGAAATCATATAAGCATGAAAAGAATTACTAGTATATACGAAAAAATTTGACAGTGGAATTTACATCAGATCAAAGAATAACTCTCTGACTCAAACATTCTTTATGATAATATTGGGTACAGGACGAATAACAGGTACTCCACAGAAGATAATTGCTGGACGAGGCCTGAAGGGGGGAAGAATCATAGGTTGAGAATAGCGAGGAACAACCATCTTCATACGTCTTCCAATACGAGTACTGATACCGTATAAACATCCAGTAAAAACTCCTTCTTGAAACCCCGGCATCATCTTCATCCTTGCAAAAACAGAAGCGGTTAGCAGACTGTCAGAACCAGCGTTATGAGCCGCGCCCTTCCTCTCCACGCCTAAGATCTTCGCCGCTCTACTCAATCCAATCTCACCACCCAATAACCCAGTACAGTGTTTTGCCATGAATTTTATATCAAACACGCACCCGAACACCATGGATGCCACCTCAACAAACTCAAACACAGTTCTTGGCATGGGTTTGTCCGTCAACAGTTTCAGAACATAGGCAAAATCATAGAGGCCATGGAAAGACACCCACTTTATGTTTCTGTGCCGTGACAGAATGTCCATGAATTTTGGTACAAAAACTTCGCTTGACAACCCATCCCTTCTGATTTTCTCAATATCAAGGCCGTTTTTCCTCAAGAAATCAATCGATTCTTCAGAATGTGCATCTTTCTCCGGATCAAAATCACTGAAATTGAACTCCCAAGTTGAACAGATAATACCGTTACCATCTGAAAGTGTGATACCCAGTTGGATAATCTTCGTCAAATCGACATTAAACTTCAAGTCATTGTAGCGCAGACACTCTGACGCATCTCTGGGAGTGTTTCGAAGGAAACCCGGAAACTCTGTGTCGAAAGAAAGGAAATTGAATCGGTTTAGACACTGATCGAAGAACGCCAGCTCTGTATCAACATTCGAACCCCAAACTTCTCTGATTTCTTCCATCGTCTTAGAACAGAGAACAAGAGAATGAATCTTTTCGAGTAATTTCGAAGACTAAACAACAAATTGAAAACACAGAGCGAGAGAGAATTGGTGAACACGAAGAGGGGAAGATTGAGGTAATGAAATTGAGAGCGAGAGAGTAGAAGTTTCCGATTTATTTTAAAAGAGGTAAGAAACGAAATCCGAATTTGAGAAGTCAGGTTGGTTAAACATAAAATCATATTAATACCTTTGAGGACCGAGTGGTTCGATGAGGACTCTTAGGTGTATTACTTAAGATGTATGAGTTCTCGGTTTCTAATTTTTAAATTGAAAAGCACTTTAAATAACCAAAAAGATAGAAAGATTGGATTAAAAGTTGAGAGGTGACAAAAGCGTAACAAAGGTCAAAATAGTTTGAAATTTGGTTACAAAAGGTAATAAGATTTGCTTGGAGAAGAAGCATTAATCAAATGAATCTCAATTAAAAGGTGGTTTAAAACTCAAAATCTCATAATGATTTTCATGCCACGATGTGGAAAAAACATGAACCACTGAATTTCTATGGGACCAAAACATCATTCAGAGGATTTCTTTTTTTTCCTTCTTAATCATACTTATCAATAATAATTTTGTTTAAACATCTTCAAGAAAATTATCTCTAATTTCTGAAATCAAACCCCTATGATATTCAAAAGATCTTAGAATATAGACACTATCAAATTACATAATTTAGTTATTTGATGACATTAAATTTGCAGGATAGCAAAGAAGAAAACATTGAAAATAGCCAAATGGAATCACAACAGGGTGGTTTGAAAGTAAAAGAGTAAAAAAAGGTTTCTAAGCTTCTAAATTCAAGTTCCTCCGGCATTAATAAGGGTGGCAATTAGGGCTCTTACTAGTCGATAGTTCTAAGGTCTCGAAGATAGTTAAGATACGCACAAACTAGCTCGGACACTCCCAGTGATTAAAAAAAAAAAACATTGAAAACGACTAAATGCAATCACTTTTGAAGAAAACAAATTTTTTGGATTGTATCATGATTTGATCAAAATTTCCCACATGGTGAGCGAGATTGATGTTGCCATGGACCAAATGCCACATCACATGACATGATGGCAATTTTTCTTCTTTTGTGCTAACAAATTCACGTGCAAATTATATCCCATATTTGCCTAACAGTGTTAAAAATTGCCTTAAAATTTCATGGAACAAATCTTATTCAATCTTGATACTTATTTTCATGTCTCCTGTCTTGTGACAAAAGGGTTCTATTTAATTATGAATTTAGTAGCATGAACCATGCTTTTTAGACCATTTTTTTTTTTTTAAATTCGTTATAAATCTATTTATTTGTTTTTCTTATATAGATAATGTGTCATAAAATGATCATTGGATTATAGTTTTTTTTTTTTTTTTTTTTTTTTAATAACAAGATGTGTCCGAGTTAATATGCGCACCTCAATTATTCCCTGGGCTCTGAAATTATCGATCGGTAAAGTTCTAGGGGTACTAAGGGTGTTCAAGAAACGATTGGAATCGGAACTGGCCGTCAACGAGGTAGTTCGGTTCCAAATTTTTGGAACGTTACTGTGCGGTTCTGGTTCTGGTTCCATGTTAGGAAACAGAACCAGGAACGAGACTATATAAATAAAATTAAAGTAAGGGGGTTAATAAAAACTTTTGTAGAAAAAGTAATGTGAATACATTTAAATTTATATTTCATAACATTTAAAGTAAGTTGGTTTACTTTTGAGAATCTACCTTTACAAAGTAATGGAGTTTGTAATTTTGAATTTAAATTTGTAATTTATTTTTGTTAACAAGCGTCAGGTGGGGGGCATTTGTAAGTTTTAAGGGTTTTTTGCCATTTTAAAAACTTTTGGGGGTAAATAATTTTACAGGGTACCCAGAACCAGAATCGTCATTACAGGTCCGGTTCGGGTACCTAGGAACCGGAACAGTCGGTTCGGTTTCCAGTTCTTTTCAAAAAATGCAGGGTACCCGAAACCGAAAACCCCCTATGGCTACCCCATTAGCATAGAGAAGGGACTAAACTCAGGATCTCTTGAGTAATACACCAAGAGTCTCTATCAAAACTTGGCCACCCAGAGGTATGTAGTTTGGATTATGTGTGGATTAGCCTCACTCTGAAAGTTGTTACATGATAATATGATGATAAAATAGGTAATATGTTAACCGCTAAGGTTTGATTAAATACCAAAAATTCCTCTAGGTTTTTGAAATAATAAAAATTTTATATAGGTAACTTGGAAAAATAATGATTAACTTGTAATATTATAAATTCTAATATTTACTATCGATTCATTAATAATAAGGGAATTTTTGTCATTAGAAACCTTAGAGGGATTGGTAGTTCATTATATATTTAGAAAAACAATTAAAAAAATACAAATAAATCCGGGAATTGTATATTATTTATGGGTAAAATACGAAGAAAAATAAAATATCATTGGTTCATTATACTTTAGCTATACATAAAAAAGTAATTATAATTTTAAAATAACATTAATTTCCTTTAAATAACAAAAAAAGTAATTGAATTAGCAGGGTGAGACCTTCATTTTACGTATTTAATGATTAATCAACCAAATACAAAAAACTTTGATGAATTTTTAAACCATAGGGGGTGTGTCGTCTACTCTTTAAAACCTTGGGACGATAAGGAATTTTTCCACTAATAAAAGTGGGAGGACAAATGAGGAATAATTAAGAAATTAATGATTTATTAGTTGAAATAATGGTAATATGATTTATAACATGTTCTTATTATTGAACTAGTAGGGTAACAGGAGAATGTAATGGCATCTGTAAATGAGCAGACTACACTTCTTGATTCTGAAATCGACTTCTATCTGACTGACATGGAGTGTCACGTGGTGACATGGGGACTCCCCACGTCGCATCCATGTCAGTCAAGATTAGGGGTGAAATCGAACTGAGCATCTGGCTACTCGAACTTTACTCGATTGAAATACCGAATTCGAATTCAAGCCTGAGGAATCGAGTTTGAACTCAAACTCGATACCTAAAATTAGAATTTGAGCTCGTATAATCGAACTTAATTGAGCTTTTCAAATCGAGTGTACGTAATTAAACTCGACTCAAAAAGTATTTTAGCTACTAAAACTCGAGCTCGACTCGACTATTGTCGAGCTGAGCCTAAGTCAAAATTGAGCCAAGCTCGAGCCGCTAGCGAGCGGTCAGCTAATTTTTACCCCTAGTTAGGAAGGGTAGTCAGATTTGCATAATTGGTAGTATAGTATTTTCTTTTATAAATATAAGCTTTGGGTCATCCAATCATTGTGGAACCCTCAAACATAAAAGTTAAACAAGTAGAAGAGTGTAGCCAAAAGGTGTAAAGTACTAAACGAGTACAAATTTCCCATTGACCTAAAGGGCCCCGAAATCTTTATGATCTTTATCAAATGAAATCAACGGTCATGATTTGGGGGTAAATACATCAAAAAATCTTCACCCTCCATCAAAATAATAATTGAAAGGCTGGAGATGTGGGGGTGGGTGGGGGGCCTATTCTCATCAACTTATACTACTCAAGCGTGCACATGAACAGTCATCACGTTACTACCTTTCATGGGCCCTCCCAAATATCGGCGCACGAGCCTCCGCGATTTGTTCCTCTGCTTTGCACATTTTTATAAACGTACAACCGGTTTTCTTCCTTTCATTGTAAATATAATACGCCACTTTTTCTTTTTCTTTTTCATTTATTTTCTTCCTATATTTACATATTAATAATTTTTTATTAATTAATCCTATTTGATATTAATCAATTCCAATATAAGAAAAAATAACCCGATTAGTATGAAAATTACAAAAATTAAGTCAAAATATCATATGAATATAGATTTTTTTTTTGCATCGCAACGATGTTGTGTGATTTGCCATTAAGTTGGAGAAGTCAGAAGCCCGCAAGGATATAGTTTGATCAGCAATTGGTCTAACCTAGTATAAACTCGTCAAGAGGAATAGCTGACGTAGATACAAGTTAGTCGCGACCAGCTTGGCAGTTGTTCGACAAACCAGAGGTAAGCTCAAGTTTCAGATATTTTGAAATGATAAGATTAACATCGGTGGCATGTGTGATCTTAGCACCCATGGGAAAATATCAGAGTTACAATTTGAATTTGATTGCAATCTCGTATTCTTTCTTTTTCTTCATCTCAAACTTGTATAAATACCTTTCTAATTATGAAAGGGGGTTAGCAATTTTTACTTTTTAGTTTACATATATTGTAAGCTCTCACAGCAATAAAATTACAGTGGACGTAAGCTCAAGTTTTAACTGACAGACCACTTTAAAAACCCTTTTGCATTATTGTTAATTCAATTTCTAATTTCATTAAATCACGCACATATTGGTTCCGATTCACAAGGGCAATCGGATCTCTCTCGTTGGTGCGAATTTTTGTAATAAATATTTTGTCGTTCTGAAAAAAATAATAATTAAATAAAAAAACATATTATTTTGTAAAATTGCAATTAATAATAAAATTGCAATTGAATTGAACATAATTTCCAACCACGTTGGTGGTCAAGTGGTAACTAGGACTTTGAGTGTATTACTCAAGAGATCTGAATTCGACATCTGACCTAGAGTAAAGATAGTTTTGGAGCTCTTACTTGATTCCGATCAATAGTTTCAGGGTCTCAAGATTGGTTACAAGGTCAATGGAGAGCAGTTGGGTGTGCATCAATTAGTCTGACACTTGATCATAAAAAAAAAAAAAATAAAAAAAAAAAGGTTTCCTCCAAAATGGAAGATGTCAACTACATTTATTTATTTTGATAGGATTAAAGTAAAACAAGAGAGGAAACTAAAACTTTCTTAAAACGGAAAATGTCAGTTCTTATATATCATTAAAGTGTCACTTTCTTAATACTGGAAAATATGACAGTAACATCCAATGCTCGTCCGTCAATATTCTAAATCATTATAATATCAATCACATTTTAAATACTTTTGTCAAAATAAACAGTATTTTTTTTTTTTTAACGAGGGGGTCAGCTAGTTACGTATAATTCAATTAATCTTTCAGGATCCTAAAACTACTGATTTGTGAGAACTCCAGTAGTACCCCTATTATCAACTAAGGAAAGACTCGAACTCGAACTTAGATCTCGAATAATAATTAAGAGTTTCGTCGAACCATTCGATCACCCAGAGGTAATTTAATAAAGGACAATATACATTTACAACCTAATTTCTTTTTGTATATATATATTTTTTTTTTTCTTTGGTTATCGATAGTGTTAGGGCCAGCTTAATACATCTCACAATCTCCTGACCCCGAAAAAGGGATCGAAACAAGACAATCCCTGCGGTCCATAACCAACAATATTAACAACCGTTCTTGTGATTCGAACTTGAGATCAAAGGGGAGCAAACCCCTTGTTAAGTTTTTACCATTCGGTCAATCATTGTTGGTTTTTAGTATATATATTACCAATACATTCCAAAACAAAATTACAAGGTAAAATAATTATTTGATCAATGGTTTTGCATCATCCTAAAATGATATAATTTCTGTAATATATATAATTAATTTTGAAACACATTTATTCAAAAAAATATAAAAAAAACATATAAAAAGTATTAATTAAATAATATAAAGAGGATAACTTGGTACATGGTGTCAATCATAACCTAATCTTTGTACAAAAAAAATTTTAATAACTTTAAATCTTATTTAAAAAACCCATTAATCAAATAAAAAGAAACTATTAATTACATATCATCAACTATTTAATCAACTGAAACTATGGCTTTTCTTTTTCTTTACCACCTTTCTCAATGTTTATATAGTTAAATAATAAATAACTAAAAACTTGCCTTTTTTTACTCATTTTTAAAACAAATTCTTATTTAATATTAAAAAGTATAAATAAATGTAGGTTCTAGTGGAGTTCAAGCCAACAAAGAAAACACAGTGCATAGTGAATGTTTTCTTCATTCAGTGTAACGATGATGTTCAATTTGAGTTTATGTGTCTTCTCTTTCCTTGTGTGAGAGAAAGCCCTCAAAACAGCTTCGTTTCCAGGGAGAAAAAGCTCAAAAACCCCTGAAAGTAAAGAGATGTTGCAGGTGAAAATGGGTTGCAGGGAGACACGATTGAAGGCCATTAAAGAAGCCATTAGAGTCGTTCCTCACTTCCCAAAACCAGTCCATAATACCATTTTCTTTCTTTGTTCGTTTTGAAACTTGCATGTTTCTGTTAATAGAGTTGAAAGTTTTTGTTTTGTGTTTTTGGAAGCTAAAGTTTTTTTTTTTTTTTTGGTGGGTTTGTTTTTGGTAGGAATATTGTTTCAGATATAACTACATGTTACTTGATCACAAGGCGTTTAAGCACCACTGTGGATATTTTTGTTGATCGTTATAGAAATATGAGGATCGATGTGGTAGCTGGTACTCCTCTTTCTTTGTGTCTCTCTCGTTTGGTGTATAAGACTCAGAGTTTCAAGTACACAGGCACAGTTTATTTATTGTGGTGATTGGTGATTAGTGTTTGCTTTTGGTTGGCACTTTCTGCGGATCTAATTAAGGGGGAGAAATTAATATATGTCATGTTGTGGTTGTTCTCTGTTTTTATCATTGTAAGTGGAAATTTTTGTAACTTAGTGGATGTGATAGGATTTTTCTTTAAGAAAGATTTATTTTTTCCTGTGGCAGTTGGGTTTGAAGGAATAAAATCTATTGAACTATCTATTTTATTGATTTGAATGGATTCTTCCTTAGAAAGTGATATTTTTTTAGTCTTTTTATCTAGTACATTGTCTGATTGTTTTTTTTTTTTTTTTTTTAAATTTCATTGAACTGTTAACTGGGTTAAAATGCAGAAGTTAAAGTGATTTGGGTTCAATTGAAGTGGCATTAGAACCTAATTGGGTTGATCTTAGAGCTTTGGCTCCGTCAGGGCTGTATTTTCAATCAATAATTTGTGTCCTCTATCGATCGATTCATCTTCATTGAATTCAAACAAAATTTCCTTAGTAGTAATGTTCAAAATTTGGTGAAACTTACAAAAGTCATGTTGAACTATAACAAAGTAGAAAGTGGCTTTGCTGAAAATGTGGCTTCATAAATTGCTAATTCATGAATTGTGGTTCTTTTTTGGAACTGTCTTTGAGTTGATTTGCTTGAGTTACCAGTTTGAGTTATGAATATGTTCTGGCAAAAATTTTAGTTGTTGTTATTGCCTCTCAACATGGAGAAAATAATTTGCTTTCTTTGATCTATTTGGCATTATTTGTTGTGGCTGCTCACAAAATTCTAAGTTACATTCCAGGATGCGAGGCGAGAGGATTTGTGTTGGCCCTCCAATTGCCTTGGCTATCGGTGCAAGTTTGTTCCTCTACGTAAACCTAGAAAGTTACCAGGTATGCTGTTCTATATGGCTGTGGTACTAGTTGAGTGTAACTTTTTCTAGTCCGTGTTGATTATTGGTTACCTTAATTTAGCAACTGTTACTTAATGGCATTATTCGCTTTACATTACTGATGAGGATAAACTTTATAATTGCATTGCTATTATTAGTTGTGGAAAGGATTATAAGAGATGAAATATTATTTTGTTTCGAGTGAGATTCAAACCTTCTACATGAATTGAGTGAAATATTTCTACAGGAGAAGTCACTCCGAAGCATACACACTGGAATATGGAACAGATTGTTTAGAGATACATGTTGGGGCTGTTCAAATGGAGAACGGGCTATAGTCATTGATGATTTGGTGGCACAGGTGGTACACTCTGTGCAGCAATAAGACTATTAGGTGAGGTTAAAGGTCCATATAGATTTTCTTTTATGCTTTTTATAATACTTTCTTGGCCTCATAACTGAATTTTTCGCAAATCACAATTGCTGTTAATTAGAACGTGTTTGGAGCTGAAGTAGTTGAATGTGCATGCGTTATTGGGTTGCCAGAGATTCAGGTAATGATTAGTTATTTTTAAATTTATGTATTCCATAATTGATAGTTGTGCATTGGTAGATCTTGAAGAATTTTCTTTCTTGCAAAGAATCAGACTGCGCTTTTGAGGTCTGTTCCATGGCAACCTCTTTGTAAATTACACCAGACTGTGTTTTTGAGGTCTGTACCAATGTGCCTTTCATCAAATAAGAATGAATCTAAAACTGCTTTAATATTTTATGTTAGAATTACTTCATTATAAATGTATATGTTGCATTGCCGGAGTTGTTTTTTACTTTTTTTGTTATACGTTGGGTGCATATTCTTTGAGCCGTATTTCAATCTGGTAGTTAATGTCCTTTCAGGTGAAGAGATTTCCAGTGAAAAATATGATCTGTGGAGGCAAGAGCAGAAGAGAAGGGCAGCTAGGCTAGGGAAACAGCTGAAATCAAGGTGGGAACTTCAGGAGCTAATTGAAGAACAATTGAACAGGTTCCGTTCCCACTACAACCATGCCATGGTCCCAATCCAACTCAAGGATGTAGCTGAGCTGCTCATGCCTAGATGGACTCCACCTCATGAGTTGGCTGCGCTGTCCTGGCTAGGCGATTGGAGGCCATCTGCCATTCTTGACCTTATCTGCGGCTTAGTCTGTCCCTCAACCTCATTATCGTCATCATCTTCTTCCCTATCAAACTCAGGTGGGATTGAACGGCTCTTATCACAGGTCATACATGAGATACGTATTGAGGAGTCAATAATTGACGAGGAAATGTCTGAGATTCAAGCCACGTGTATCCTCCACCTTCCTTTTGCTTCATTGAACAAAAGGCAATCAGGTGGCTCCACCTTGGGTTTCATTCAGGAAGAATTCAAGAAGATTGAGCGGGTTATCACTAAGGCACAACAACTCAGGTTCAGTTTTCATAGTAATTAAGTATGATAACCTTTAACAGTTGTTCTTACCACCTAAAATGTGACATTTATTGACCTCTAAATATATTTTAGCATAATTGAATTGTGTACTGGTCACATCATATACTTCGTTTCTTGACAGTCCAAGCCCCCGATTTATATACATAAATACACTCATTAACAGAAATATTAACTGTAATAATGACTGAAAAGTTCATTTTATTGACTGCTATGTGAAAAATTGTATGACAGGTACAAGACATTGGAGTTGGCCGTGAAGAAGGTCTTGAGCCAAACTGATGCAGCGCAGTTCTTAGTAGCTTTTGCTGAAATTCAAGATGTTATCCACCAAGTTGCTGAGCAGCTGAAATTGCGAAAGGTTCTGGTAACTCTGCCCACCAAAGCCTCGAGACCTAAGCTAACAGCGGCAAATCTCAGGATCAATCTTAACAAACCAGAATCAGTCAATAGAAAATACACACAGGATTTTACTCTGTTGAGTAGTTGTCCAGACTTGTAAGTGTTCATCATACGCTCATTGACATTTTACTCTGTTGTTACGGTAGTCATATACTATTGTGTAATTTCATCTCTGTGTCATGGGTTGTGGAATTGTACAAATATGTTTACGCATAGGATTCTGGGAAATACCACGTTGACCAATATGTGAAAGAAAGTCGATTATACGATTACCTTGTTTTTGAAGAATGTTTTTACGCATTTTCATTTGTAGTTTTTACGAAGCATTTAGTCAAATTTTAGATAAAGAACTGGTTTGGCCTGATAATGTTTGAAATTTTCTTGTAATTTTTATGGTTCACAATCTGATTAAGATGAAAGCACTACAACAGATGAAATTAAATAAAATAGTAAAGATTCCAAAGACTGGGAAAAGTAATAACCTTTACTGATGAAATCAAATTTGGCCTTTAAAGTTTAGTGCCGGAGATTAGATATTGGAGAAAACCAAACAGAAATGCTTGAAGCTGATATTTTCAGTTTCATACTTTCATCCTTCTGTTTAATTTCCTCCAATTCTCGCCTACGACAATCACTATATATATATATATATTCCTTGTGGCATCGTAGATCGTCTTAAGTGAATACTGAAGATGAGATATTGGAGGAAACCAAACAGAAAGCATCAAACAATGTCAATCTATTTAGTTTCCTGCAATTCTCACCTTCAATCATTCACACCCATTTCTGAAGTTTCAGAAATTATGTAATTGTGAAAGTGGAGGCTGGACATGAGATACTAGAGGAAGCTAAACAGTAACAACAGAATCAAGCTAATCTGTTTAGTTCCCTCTAATCCTCACATACAGCTTCGACAATCTGTCTGTTTTTTCTCATCCCCATATATCCTTTTAAGAGTTTAGTAAATTTTACATTCTTGTTGAGAAACCCTTCAAGCCATAACCAGTATTTATAGATCTTGTAAAGAGCCTGTAACACGCAGTTCACGATGTATAAAATGTCAGAATCTTCAGAAACAGCAAAAATTCCATGAAAAAAAACCAGTCAAATTTGCATGCTTTAAGACTGTTCTGAAGTACTCCTGTCTCTCTGCTACAAATTTGGGAACCAACCAAAACTAAATTTTGAAAATATTTCAGGTTGTTAAAACATAAAATCATTTAACTACCTTTGACCGACCGAGTGGTTCAATAGGAACTCTTAGGTGTATTACTCAAGAGGTATGAGTTCGAGTCTCTCCTCGGTTTCTAATTTTTAAATTGAAAAACACTTTAAATAACAAAAAAGAATATGAAAGATTGGATTAAAAGTTGAGGAGGTGACAAAAGTGTAACAAAGGTCAAAATAGTTTGAAATTTGGTTACAAAAGGTAATAAGATTTGCTTGGAGAAGAAGCATTAATCAAATGAAATCTCAATTATAACAGGTGGTTTAAAACTCAAAATCTCATAATGATTTTCATGCCACGATTGTGGAAAAACCGAAAAACATGAACCACTGAATCTTCTATGGGACCAAAACATCATTCAGAAGATTTCTTTTTTTCCTTCTTAATCATACTTAACAATAATAATTTTGCTTTTAAACATCTTCAAAAAAATTATTCTCTAATTTCTGAAATCAAACCCCTATGATAATCAAAAGATCTCGAGAATATAGACACGATCAAATTACATAATTTTGTTATTTGATGACATTAAATTTGCAGGATAGCAAAGAAGAAAACATTGAAAATAGCCAAATGGAATCACAGCCGGTTGATTTGATGGTAAAAGAGCGGAAAAATGTTTCATAAGCTTCTGAATTCAAGTCCCTCCAGAAATTAATAGAGATGGTCATTAGGACTCTTACTCAGCCTGATAGTTCTAAGATCTCGGGAGATTAATTGAGATACGCACAAACTAACCTGGATACCCTAGTGATTACAAAAAAAAAAAAAAAGACATTGAAAACGACTAAATGCAATCACTTTTGAAGAATAACAAATTTTTTGGATTGTATCATGATTTGATCAAAATTTCCCACATGGTGAGCGAGATTTGATGTTGCCATGGACCAAATGCAACATTCACATTGACATGATGGCAATTTTTTCTTCTTTTGCTGCTAACAAATTCACGTGCAAATTATATCCCATATTTGCCTAACAGTGTTAAAAATTGCCTTAAAATTTCATGGAACAAAATCTTATTCAATCTTGTACTACTTATTTTTCATGTCTCCTTTGTCTTGTGACAAAAGGGTTCTATTTAATTATGAATTATAGTAGCATGAACCATGCTTTCTTAGACCATTTTTTTTTTTTTTAAATTCGTTTATAAATCTATTTATTTGTTTTTCTTATATAGATATATGTGTCATAAATATGATCATTGGATTATAGTTTTTTTTTTTTTTTTTTTTTTTAATAACAAGATGTGTCCGAGTTAACTTATGCGCACCTCAATTATTCCCCTGGGGCTCTGAAATTATCGATCAGGTAAAAGTTCTAGTGGCTACTAAGGGTGTTCAAAAGAACCGATTGGAATCGGAACTGGCCGTCAACGAGTAAGTTCCGGTTCCAAATTTTTGGAACCGTTACTGTGCGGTTCTGGTTCTGGTTCCTATAGTTAGGAACCAGAACCAGGAACCGAGACTTATATAAAATAAAATTAAAGAGTAAGGGGGTTAATAAAAACTTTTGTAGAAAAAGTAATGTGAATACATTTAAATTTATATTTCATAACATTTAAAGTAAGTTGGTTTGACTTTTGAGAATCTACCTTTACAAAGTAATGGAGTTTGTAATTTTGAATTTATAATTTGTAATTTTATTTTTGTTAACAAGCGTCAGGTGGGGGGCATTTGTAAGTTTTAAGGGTTTTTTGCCATTTTAAAAACTTTTGGGGGGTAATAAATTTTACAGGGTACCCAGAACCAGAATCGTCATTACAGGTTCCGGTTCTGGGTACCTAGGAACCGGAACAGTCGGTTCCGGTTCCAATTCTTTCAAAAAATGCAGGGTACCCGAAACCGAACACCCCTAATGGCTACCCCTATTAGCAATAGAGAAGGGACTCAAACTCAGGATCTCTTGAGTAATACACCCAAGAGTCTCTATCAAACCACTTGGCCACCCAGAGGTATGTAGTTTGGATTATAGTTGTTGATTAGCCTCACTCTGAAATGTTGTTACATGATAATATGATGATAAAATAGTTAATATGTTAACCGCTAAGGTTTGATTAAATACCAAAAAATTCCTCTAAGGTTTTTGAAATAATAAATATTCTTATATTGTTTAAATTTTAGGTGTTAAAGATAAAATGTATGAAGGTAACTTGGAAAATAATGATTAACTTGTAATATTATAAATTCTAATATATTACTATCGATTCATTAATAATAAGGGAATTTTTGTCATTTAGAAACTTTAGAGGGATTTGATAAGTTCATTATTATATTTAGAACAATAATTTATTTATTGGTAAAATACAAATAAATCCGGGAATTGTTCATATTTATTTATGGGTAAAATACGAAGAAAAATAAAATATCATTGGTTCATTATACTTTAGCTATACATCAAAAAGTAATTATAATTTTAAAATAACATTAATTTCCTTTAAATAACAAAAAAAGTAATTGAATTAGCAGGGTGAGACCTTCATTTTACTTATTTAATGATTTAATTACAAAATACAATAAAACTTTGATGATATTTTTAAAACCATAGGGGGTGTGTCGTACTTCTTTAAAACCTTGGGACGATAAGGTAATTTTTCCACTAATAAAAGTGAGAAGAGACAAATGAGGAATAATTAAGAAATTAATGATTTAATTAGTTGAAATAATGGTAATTATGATTTATAACATGTTCTTATTATTGAACTAGTAGGGTAACAGGAGAATGTAATGGCATCTGTAAATGAGCAAGACTACACTTCTTGATTCTGTAAATCGACTTCTCATCCTGACTGACATGGAGTGTCACGTGGTTGACATGGGGACTCCCCACGTCGCATTCCATGTCAGTCAAGATTAGGGGTGAAATCGAACTGAGCATCTGGCTACTCGAACTTTACTCGATTGCTATAATACCGAATTCGAATTCAAGCCTGAGGAATCGAGTTTGAACTCAAACTCGATACCTAAAATTAGAATTTGAGCTCGTATAATCGAACTTAATTGAGCTTTTCAAATCGAGTTGTACCGTAATTAAACTCGACTCAAATAAGTATTTTAGCTACTAAAACTCGAGCTCGACTCGACTATTGTCGAGCTGAGCCTAAGTCAAAATTGAGCCAAGCTCGAGCCGCTAGCGAGCGGGTCAGCTTAATTTTTACCCCTAGTTAGGAAGGGTAGTCAGATTTGCATAATTGGTAAGTATAGTATTTTCTTTTATAAATATAAGCTTTGGTGTCATCCAATCATTGTGGAACCCTCAAACATAAAAGTTAAACAAGTAGAAGAGGATTAGCCAAAAGGTTGTAAAGTACTAAAAGCGTAACAAATTTCCCATTGACCTAAAGGGCCCCGAAATCTTTCATGATCTTTATCAAAATGAAATCAACGGTCATGATTTTGGGGTTAAATACATCAAAAAATCTTCACCCTCCATCAAAATAATAATTGAAAGGCTGGAGATGTTGGGGGTGGGTGGGGGGCCTATTCTCATCAACTTATACTACTCAAGCGTGCACATGAACAGTCATCACGTTACTTACCTTTCATGGGCCCTCCCAAATATCGGCCGCACGAGCCTCCGCGATTTGTTCCTCTGCTTTGCACATTTTTATAAACGTACAACCGGTTTTCTTCCTTTCATTGTAAATATAATACTGCCACTTTTTCTTTTTCTTTTTCATTTATTTTCTTCCTATAATTTTCATATTTTAATAATTTTTTATTAATTCTCTATTTGATATTAATCAATTCCAATATAAGAAAAAAATAACCCGACTTAGTATGAAAATTACAAAAATTAAGTCAAAATATCATATGAATATAGATTTTTTTTTTTTGTCATTCGCAACGATGTGTGTGATTTTGCCATTAAGCTTGGAGAAGTCAGAAGCCCGCAAGGATATAGTTTGACTCAGCATTGGTCTAACCTAGTATAAACTCGTCAAGAGGAATAGCTTGACGTAGTACAAGTTAGTCGCGACCAGCCTTGGCAGTTGTTCGACAAACCAGAGGTAAGCTCAAGTTTCAGATATTTTGAAAATGATAAGATTAACATCGGTGGCAGTGTGATCTTAGCACCCAATTGGGAAAAT